GTGAGTTGTGACACACCACTTGTCTACTTTTGACTCCAGTTCATACTGGAGTTCTAACATGCCCAGCACAGCAGCACTCAGTGGGGCTGTGATTTCATTCAGGCCACGGTAGTCCACCGTCAGCCTCCATTCTCCACTGGCTTTATGCACTGGCCATGTGGGACTGTTAAAAGGTGAGCGCGTTTTGCTTAATGCTCCCTGACTCTCTAGCTGACGAATCAGCTTATGAATGGGGAGCAAGGAATTCCTGTTGGTGCTGTACTGCCGTCTATGCACCATTTTTGTACCTGCTGCTCTTCCACTCAAAGCAACCCCACAACAGATGGATCTTCTGACAGACCAGGCAAAACAGACAGCTGCTTAATGTTGTCTGTGTCTACAGCAGCTATTGCAAAGGCCCATTGATATCCCTTGGGATCCCTGAAATGCCCCTTTCTGGAGTAATCAATTCCAAGTATCCATGGAGCCCCTGGGCCAGTCAAAATAAGGTACTTTTGCCAGCCTTTACCAATGAGGCTAATTTTGGCCTCCAACAGTCAGCACTTGGGAACCCCCAGTCTCCCTAGAAATATAAACTGATTTTGTCCCTTTGTGACTTGAGGGCATTGGAGTGCACTGTGCATCAGTGTTCACCAGTGCCTCATATTTCTGTGGTTCTGATGTGCCAAGCCCATCAAATTCACACAGTCCAATACACTCCATTATCCCTTTCCACCCCTTGACTGGGGGCAGGGCCCCTCCAACTGTTACCTGTATTGTTCTGTGAGTCAGATCAGGGTCCTTATGTCTTTTGCCATGTCCCGCAGCAACTGGAGCAACAGCCTTCATGGAAAGTTCACCTTGGTGGTTGATTCTCAGCATGATCATTGGATGAGCATTTCAAAAATGGGATTCAAGGGAAATACTGGAAGCCTGTTAAAAAATCACATGTTCTGTAAAATTAGCAACTCTCTCTGAGATGTAACTTTCAATGCCCAATTCATGCCACACTGCATGCAGACAACAGATAGGTATTTCCATCAGTGTATTTAATTTATTATATACACATATAGCTCTATAGAGCAGAATGGCAGACTTAATAAAGGTCCACTACGTTCTAAATATTAAAAGGAGGAATGTGATGAAATGCAATCCCTTGTAGAACAGTTTTACAAGAGAAAGCAAACACTTCGTTTCTTTACAAAAAGAAGTTGGCACGGTGCCAAAACAAAAAAACAACAACAAAATACTGGCACAGCACTCAAAGAGTTTAGAAGGTTCCCAGAACGTTGGCAGTAAGCCCAGACTTTAAGGACTTGCAGGCCTCCAATACAGATAAATAACAAAGCTCTCTGGGGGGTACAGAATCTAAGAGTATGTATTCCTGCCAGTGCACCAAAAGTGTATGTTCCTAAGGTGGTCTTTGAACTTCTGGGAGAGGCACCTCTAAAGCTGTTCTTCCATATTTCATTAGTTAGATTAATCAGCGAGCTCCAGCATTTAATGAATGGCCGTCCTTAGCTGCAAATTTCAAACCTTCCATTTATTTCTTCCACATGATTTCACTGAGAATTGCGAGCAAATCCAGCTGTTCCTTTTGTAGTGTTCTTGGAAAACATCTGTGTCTGCAGAAACATTTTCTGAGGTACTGCACTGTGTTGGCACCAAGGTTCCACAGCAAGCTTAACTGTGGCGTAACTCTTCATTACCATGCCACAGAATGCCCTAGTCCCATTTCTAAAATGAACCACAGTGAAACTCCAGTTTTGAAGAAATCAGTGAAACAACACCATTTCTTTCACCTTGCTCAAGATTCTGTGTCTCTGGGATGTCCAGGTTTAGCACACCTTCAGAGGATTACTCACTTTCCAGTGGGTCCCTCCTTCATGCTACTGGCTCAGGATAGGAGTCAGCTTCTACCGTCATACTGGCGTCTGCTTGTCTACTACAAGGTGGGGTTTACAAATGTGCTTCAGAAACCATTGTTAATATGAGAATATTAACAGTATTAAGTTATTTGAACTTCATTTACTGCTTAGTTGAGACATCTGTAATAGAAATATTTATTCTACCTCCCCCCCCCCAAAAAAAATTGCTTAAAAACATCATGTGATACTTTCTCCCCAACAACACTTGCAAAACCAACTTTAGTGTTATGAAAAATACCATATGTGCTACCAACAGTTTTCAAAGATAAGATAACACTAATTCTCAGTATTCATGAAATACTTGGTGCCTCTGACTTCCATTTCTCATTCATTTGGAAGCAAATTAAACAAAAAGCAAAGAAAATGCAACACAACTGCAAGAAACCATTGTTTTTTTTATTTCAGCATATATCACCAAAGCCATTTCCCCTTTAAAGATTCTTTTGTTCTCACAGGAGAGCTGATTCCTTAGATTCCTGGGAAGATTCTTAGCTTCATAGACAGCTGGAGGGCTAATATTCTTCTGTTTCACTCCCTGAGAGATTGGCATGCCTACACTTTAGTCTTGCAAGTGGAAACTGTTTACCAAGATATGTGACAACAACAACCCCTAGTGGATCATGAACATGTTCACAGCAGCTGTTGACAAAACCTATTCAGCAAATACTGCAGAATTTACTTTACTTGAACGTGTATTTTTCTACACAGACTGCTGATGAATGGAAACTACCAACTTTCCTTATTTTTCACACTCCTTAAATAGATGTCAACTTCATGTCCTGGTTAATGAAGTTGCTAACATTTTCCCCCATTTACCATCTGTAGATAAAGGCAGTTTTGTTTTTCTCTCACTCATGAAGCTTTTTGCCAATGTAAAATGACTTCTTGGCAATCAGCAGGAATTTTAACCTTCATGAGAAGATTATTACCATTGTTATGAAGAAATTTGGCAATTCTGGGTGAGATGTTATGACAAGAGGCAGTCTCTTTGTGACTAAAATGATTAAATGTATGATAAGATGAATACTGATATTGTCTGAATCAAAGTACCAATTAAAAAGTAAACACTGAAATATTACTGCACGCATGAGCAGTGCTGCAAAATAAATGCCAATTTAACAAACCATGACAAATTTTAAAACAGAGAACGTGATTACCTGTGGGATAAACATTACCTTATTAAGCTGCATTTCTTCATATTGAGGCATCAGCTTTAGAGGTACTTTATGTAATCCCTGCAGCTGTGACACTAAAAATCCAAGGCTCCATAGTTCTTGTTTACAAGCTAAACTCTTCCAATTTCCTCAGTGAATCAAAACTCAAAAATAACCAAGTTTCTCTTGGTACAAGGCAATGTGATGTTTAAAAATTGTTGTTCTTTTTTGTTTGGACAAGAAGTTAAAACAGCGATTTTCCAGAGCCAAAAAAATGCTTCTTCATTAGGGAAATAATGGTATGACCTTGTACAAACCAGACCACCCACTTAATTGATTCTTCAGTTAAAATGAAGCAGTTTTGAGCCTCTATGTTGCATGGGATTTCACTTGCTAGCTTTAAATATCAAATGATCCAGTACTTAGACCAACCTATTCACGCCTCTCCTCCCTGTTCTTGAAAGGAGAATGACATAAACAACAGACTTATACATAGACACACAATAATATATCTTAGAAGAGGCTAAACTAGTTTGGTTTTGCATGTAGATGTATAGTGCAGTACGCATTCTGGAAGAAGGATATGTCATTCCTTGTCTTATCTTCATCTTTTAACCTAGCTGCAAATACATCTCAACTAAAAATAAAAGTAAGACATGTATGTGGAAATGTAGCTATCATATAATGATCACTCTGTTACCATCATAGGGATGCTTGCATATCTGTAAGTCAGAAAGGAAACTGTGGAAAAGCATGAAGTATGCTCAGTGTAAAATCAGGAGAAAAGGACTGTCAGCTGAATAATGAGTTGTTGAAATACAGCATGCCTACAAAATAACAAGTTCAGGAAATGCAATCTGTAGACGTGCTGAAGGCTCATGAGAAACCACTTCTGAGTGACCTGCAGAAGGTGCAGGTCTTGGCAGATTGTATTATTTTTGTCTTCCTCAGTCAATTTAAGTGGAATCCTATAATTTTTAATGGAAGATGTGGATAACAACACCTAGATGCAATCACCCCCTTGTACTTGTAATTGTATTTCAATCTCATTATGCATTCATAATACACATCATGCATAAAACCTTTTTACTGATCATTTTTCTTTCTGTTAGAAGACTAACCATATACTAACCATAAAGCACCCTCAGAACTACTTATTAAACAACAGAATCACTGTGACTCACTTGTTAAAAATTCAGTACTGCAAAAATACTTCACTAAAACACAAGAGATGTAAGCTTTATTATTTATTACAGCCCGAGTAACAGGGATTACTGAGAAGACAAAGATACTGAATACTTTCTTTGCTTCAGTCTTTACTACAATGTCTGTCCCTTGGGAAACACAGATCTTGGAGGTAAGAGAGAGCTTGGGGAACACTCTCTCTTCTTGGGGAAGGCTTCATTAGTGTTGAGGAGGAGAAGATCAGAGAGTGTCCAGCCAAAATCAAAGAATACAAATCCAATGTCACTCCAGTCCTCAAAAAGGGCAAAAAAGAGGATCCAGGAAACTACAGGACAGTCAGCCTCACCTCCATCCCTGGAAAGGTGATGGAGCAGCTTCTTCCAGGTGCAAGTGGAAGAGGTTATCAGGAGTAGTCAGCATGCTAAGGGGAAATTATGCTCAACCAACCTGCACCTGCAGCTCAGAAGGCCAATCAAATGTTGGGATGCATCAAGAGAAGCATGACCAGCAGGTCAAGGGAGGTGATTCCATCCCTCTACTCTGCTCTGGTGAGACCACACCTGCTGTACTGCATCCAATTCTGGGACCCCCAGACCACCCAGCCCCATCAAGGCCGGGCCACAGCTCTCTATGGGGGCACCGCCACGGCGTGGAGACCAATGGTGGGGAAGGGGCGGGGCCTCTCGGCCGGCGGGCCTGCGGCAGCCAATCAGAGGCGCCAGGCGCGCTTCCCGCCCTGAGGTCACTGCTGAGGTACGCGCTGCGCCCCGTCTGTGGTGGCTGCTGGTTTACAGAGCAGTGTCGGTGCGTTTAAGTGAAGTGCTCTCAAGAAGCTAGCAATAGAAACGTTCACCCGTTGTTCTAATCTCCTCAGTATGGTCCACTCCATCTCACAGCGAGTGTCCTCGGCGCGGCCAGGTGCTGGCTCACTGGTCAGCTTTCCCACCGACTGGGGGCCTCTGCGCAGCTTCCAACAGGAACTCTCTGTTCCTTCTCCATCTGTTTTTACATCTCATTACGCACTTTAGTTTTTGTTTGAAGTGGTTTTGTGGGGGTTTTTTTGGATTTTTTTTTCTCTTTTCCTGAACCCATCCTTTTGCATTCCCTGGTTGTACTATTTTCAAGCAAACAACAACTTCCTAATTATCTTTTCCTTATTAGTCTCTGTTACTTTCATACCTGGATCGTTTCTGGATAGCACTGGAGCTCTCTGTCCTTCAGAATAATACCTGGATTTATTTCTGACACTTTTACCCAGGCAATTTTAGTTTAATGCCATATTACTGATACTTACTTGAGTCAGCCTTGAGTCCCAACTTTCCTTATAGCCCTACAATTCAAGTTTATTATGTTTCATCAGACACTTTTTGGATAGGATTATCTTAATTTAGCCTTAGCACTCTACCTAAGTTATTTAAGAACAGATACTCTTATTTGTTTACACATGAGCACATGAGCAGTCACACCATATATCTGTTCTTGTACTCCTTGTACATTACCCACCTGACTCCTATTTGCCATCAGAGTCCCTAATTAATTTAGTGACTTGGCATTCTAACAGGACCTCTTGCTTATAACTAGCTCATACAATTCTTTTTTGCTTGTATAACCAAAGGAGTGGGAGAAAAAAAAAAAAAAAAAGCCCTAGTATATGCATTAGTCAGAGAAAAATTAGGTTTAGGTAGCTGAACTACAATTTTTGAATCAGAATCCAGAAGAAATAATCTAATTTGTTTGATCGGTTCAATGATTAGATCTGTTAAATTGTCAGAATCATTGCTTAGGGGAAGTAACTGAGATTGCTTACATTCGCTTAAAAGGATTGAAAGGTTTTCTGTGAACTGCAAGAGGCACAGAGGGAAGGGAGGGGGAGAGGAGGAGGAGGGGGAAAGGGAAGGGGCAGAGAAGGGGAGGGAAGGGAGAAGAGAGAAAAGGGCATTTTTGCATGATCAAATGTCTGTGGTCTCTAGTTCATTTGTTACATCCTTCCAAAGGAGGAATACTAAACTCTCTTCTAAACAAAGTTCAGTTCAAAGCACATATGTTCGAAGAAGTTCAGAAATTATTCCTGTTTAGCCTTTATTTCAGTCTGCTCCTTCAACTCCTTTATACAAGAACTTTTAACTTATCCTTTCTCTGACAACTCCTTTATACAAGATCTTTTAACTTATCCTTTCTCTGATTTTCTTTTAGACAAGTGTCAGAAACATCACAAAACAGGAAACATGTTTGCAGCTTTAAAGTATCACTCAATAGACTATTTATATGAGGTATAGTTTTATTATTTTGCTTATTATTCTGAAGGAACTATATGTCAGTAATTTAAAAGATTCAGCATATGTTAAAAAGTAGAGAACTAATTTCTAAGATTATATTATATTTGTGTGAGGTTGTTGTACTGCACTGATGCTGGTACAAAATAAGGTGATTGATTACCTTTTTTAATAGAAAATTAAAGTGCAATTTTACCAAAACAGAAGAGCATTTGTTTTTTGATTGTCTGTTGCATTTATGACTGTGTTTCATAAGCTGTTGCTCAGAGCTTCCTTTGGAGTGTGTACGGTGCTTTCTAGTGCATACAATTAAATTAAATTAGTTTTTTGAAGAACTAGTTTTAGTTTCTAATTTCTTTAATACACATTAGGTAATACTACAAATCGTTTTCCTACTAAAGATGGGAAAGTGTTATTTCTTTGTATGTTATGGATGAAATTTAAAATTTGTGCAAAGCAGATGTGTTTGACATCTACAATGAATCTCCTGGCTTTATTGATGTTGATCTGTTACAACATGGAAAACTTTAAAAAGTTCTGCTTTCTTTTCTGTCTACATCTGTGTGATGTTATCCATTACTTATCATTTGGTGCAATGTCTTTTCTAATCGAGGATTTACTTATTCACATCTTCAAAGATATTAGCCATATTAAGAAATTTTCCGGCAGGGTCATGCTTTGCCTAGTGGGGATATTCGTAGTTCACAAGTAGAAGAATGAGACATGATGCCTTCAGGAATTCAGGATGACTGCAAGTACATTCGCAAGTAGTCCTGGCACATGTCTGGAGAAATGTAACTCTGAAGTAGTCTAAGACAGTACAGATATTTGCAGGTGAACTGCAATCCACACTATGAAATACCTTGCCCGTGTCCCTTTCTTCATAGTGCAGAAGGTGTTTTCCGTAGTATCTCTGTTTGTGCCTTCTTTCTTAGAATGTACCATCAAAACCTTTTTCTCTTGTAACTCCAGCAGCATGCAATCTGTATTTCAGCCTTCCAGCAGCAATTCTATTCAGTTTGATCTTCAGATGATTCTGTAGCATTTGTGAACAAAAAAATGAGGTATGTTAGCAAAACATGGGCTGTTGTGAAAAGGAAAATATCTAGATCTGTGCCTTTTCTTGCCTAAATTTTGAGGAGTCAGGCAGTGCTGATAGTGGGATAAATGAAAATAGGCAGAAGTTTAGTGTTTGGTAACTTGCTGACTGGCTGCTGGCTCTGTAATATCAGCAGAAGTAGTTAGTGGATGTGGTCACAAAAGTGAAGGTATTCTGGATCTGACTGTATGAAGGCTACACTGTCTTAAAACAGCGTAGAAAGCATGTAATAGTTCAGTGAACTTTTCAGGGATTTGTTTTATCAAATGCATTTGCTTAATGCTTCCAATTGTAGGAAATGCTGGAATTTGATGGGAGACTCAAACTCTGATTCCTGCAAATGTTTAACTGAGCTCAGTGTGGAATCCTTCTCTTGATGTTCTTGTCTATAAAGCCCAGATATAGTTCTTCCAACTGCCCAGTTTAAATAAATACTTGAAGAAAGGTGCCTTTCAGCTAGGTTCCTCAAGCTACTGAGCATTGCAGGTGTGATTACAGAGTCATCTTAGAAGTTTGGTATTCTCTTACATCATAAACTGACAATACAGGCAAGCTGTACAGTATAGTAAAAAACAGAGTGTCTTTTGTTTAAAAGAGAAATTTATAGAGACCTTTACTTTTCCTTGAAAAATAGTAGGAAATATTCATTGGCTAAATGACTTAAACATTAATACTCTTTAAAAAAACATTTATATATATGAGAAAGACATGAGAGGTTATGTTGTAGCAGACTTCATAAATTCAACTAATTCACTATAGCCTTTATACTCAGAACAAATCAATCTAAAATGTTCCGTAAAATGTATAGCTTGCCTGTTACAAGGCCACCATCTGTGCGCATAGCCCTAGGACAAGTTTGCTCCACTTTACAAACAGCAGTGATTGAAAATATGCTTAATTCTAAGCTACTGAGCTACAGTATCCTCTGCAAAACTGCCTACTGGTGTTAACATTGTCTTTCTGATCCCTGACTCGTTACTGCTTGCATTTATTTGTTCAGCAGTTTCTGCTTTAACTCCAGCAGCCCATTTATTTTTAACTTCAGAGTACTGCAAGAACTCAGTCATGGTCGTTATAGCTTGTTTTAATGACAAAAAAGGTTATATTCACAATTAGTAGAGAAGATCCCTGCCTAAACATAGTGTTTTGCCTTAGACAAAAAATTGTTATTACATCAATATGGCTCTTACCAATTTTTGCAAGGGTTTTCTAAAGAAGATGGCATAATGGCAATTTTTTTGTCTCCTTTTTCTTAAAATTAACTGTCATTAATTCTGACAGTTTTAAATATCTGATGGAGGATTAAATCCGAAAGGAAAAAGAATTGATAATTATGACCCTTGACAGAAGTAGTTTTATGTTTTATGTTCTCTGAATAATTGAGTGTTCATGTTGCGTTCCAGCTCTTTTCCCCTCCTTTTCCCTCTCACTTTCTTTTCTTCCATTCTATCTTAACCAGCTCAGGAAGATTTCCAAAATTGTGGCTGACAGCACAGTTCTTGTAGTAATCCAACTCAGTGACTAATTTTTAGTTTATCATCTGATATGACTAACTGCACAAACTGTAACTGGCTTGACAGCACATGCAGAAACAGGTGGACATCTCTTGGACATGACGTAACAGAATTGAAGTCAGGCCATGACTAAGAGCTAGAGGGAGGTTTCTGGTCTCCCCCACATAACACTTTCCACATTTCTGTAGTTAAATGTCCTTTCCAGTATGCCTTTTATAGCACGGAATTTTGGGTTGCAACTTCTTTCTAGACTATAAACGTGTCAAATCCAAACCCCCTACATAAGTATTATTCTTCTCAGCTTCCTAAAATCATTGATTTTTCTGGAGTTTGTGCTGTTTATGCAGTAATGCATGTAGAAATTTGTGAAAATAACTGTTGGACATTTTATTGAAGGTTGTCTTGAATGAAATGTCAGTGGAGGTGCCATGTTAAATTCTAAGATTTAGTCAATTGCAACCATGTTCCCCTGCTATATTTAATGAAGATAAAATGAGTCATGCTAGCCTTTTATTATTTCATAATGGTGCATGAAAACTGAGAGGCTTTAGAATGCTTGAGCACTGAAAGCAATTGTAGTTGGAGTCACATTAAATTCTTTCTATTTAGCTTATGCACATATGTGCCTGTTCTGAAAGCTGGTGCAAGTATGATTATAACCACCCCTAACTACACAAACTAAGTTTAGATAGTTTAGGTAGTTATAGTGTATGCCAAGTGTTGCACATGCAGAACTGTAGATTAAAAGTTAAATGTCAAATTTGGCAAACATGAGTATCTTCTCTTAGATTGGACTGTGTCTCATTTTCACAGAAATATACAACTTAAATGTAAAAAGACATAGTGCACTAAAAAAAAGACAAATATAAGTGTGTCTCATAATCCTATCACATGCCCTTTTTTTTTTTTTTTTTTTTTTTTTTTCAGAGCATAGCAAGGCAAAAGTATTCCATCCGTAGATTATCACTTTGTTTTCCTCCCCATTTACAACAACATGAAAAGTATCATCTGACTGGACTTTTTACTCATGATAAGTATAGGACACCCTGGACAAGAAGTAAGTAGTCTGGTCCCTAAGGTTTAGTTTAAATTTACTGTGGATTTACAGAAAAGTTTCTATTTGAGCATAATATAATGTAGTCTAATAGGAAAAAATGTATTTCCAGAAGTAGCAGTCTTATAGTGTTTGAAGGTAGGATTTATTCATTATCTAAACAGAAACAGATGGGTACTGGGTATTTATTTGTGTATGGCACCACAAATTAGGGCAATATTTGATTAGATCATTGACATCTCTGTAAAACTTCATGCTGAATTAGTCAAATACTGTACAGCATGTCAGGAGACATGCTATTGTGCAAGAAAATTAGTGGTCTAGGTAAGTAATGAAAATAGATCTGTTTAGTTGAGAGATGATGCTGACATTTTTGAAAAAATTTGTGTGAAGATACGTGAATATGGATAAAAATTTGCATTTTTCTGGCTTACTTTCATTCACTTGAAAACAGTAGAAGCAACAATCTTTGCCTCTTGTATACGTATTAGCTGCAACATAACCTCTGCAGTGATTTGATCTATACTTAAAAATGATTTTATTCTTTTTTATGTGATTCTTTTTTGTCCATTTCTCTCTCAGTTACTTCAACACAGAACATGATTGCTGTTACAGTGTTGGATCAATGGAAGAAGAGTTTATCTGTGGAGGATTTCCTGGAAAAGTCAGTGATCTTATCTTTAAAGTATACACGATTCCTTTAATATCATTCAGCTACTTTGTGAGTGCTAAGTTAGTGATGATAGAATATGGAAATGTCTTCTGATCTTACAAAGTAGGCAATGCTGTGGAGCTGTTCTAGGAGACAGCTTAAAGATGTCTTCTTTACTAAGAGTAGTACTACGAGGGCAGCTCTGAAAGTAATGCCTTCTATTTTATAATTTTGGCCCAGGATACCATAGATGTTGGTGGTATCACAGTAGAGTCTGAACCTTCTGCCAACATTCTGTTACGCGTTGTTGCTCTGTGACAGATGGCAGCAGAGGGACACTCTGACAGAATGGTTTCTGGCATGGAAGTGTGCGTGAAGCAAAGGTGTGGAACTGATTTCCTTCATGTGGAAAAAAGTGGCACCCACCAATATGCTTCAACTCTTGCTGAATGTATATGGAGACCAAACAGAGGATGTGAGCACAGTGAGGAGTGGCTGGTATATTTTTCAGCAAACTTGCTGAGGGTTGGCTCAATCGCACTAATCAAATTACTGATAAAAGTATTGAAGAGCAGTAGTCCCAAGATGGACCCCTGTGGGATGCCACTTGTGACTGACCTGTACCTGGACATAGAGCCACAACCACATCTCAACAGCTCACTTAGCTGTGATTTAATAAAATGCGGCGCTCATTTGTCACAGTGTTCAAAGTTTTATGGATTTTCAAAGGCTTACAACTCGTTGAAGTTTGGGCATTTAGTGTTGTCAATACTACACAGTTTTCACTCGTGAGTTATACTACTTGTAGTTGCAAAATATCTTCAAGGCTATGCTGCTTTGTAAAATATGTTATTAAAAAATTGTAGCAGGTATTCCCCAATATCACTGACTAAACATGAACGTTTATGCTGAAATTAAGAGATGCACTGTGTTCTCTATACTGATGCCATTTATGTGATTGACCTCCAGATGGTTGGCAAATATGAGGACTGTGTAGTGGAACAGATTAGTAGAATACTGAATAAATCAGTAGGATGAACAGTTGAGAAGTCTGTTCTCTGAAATTAGAATATTAGAACCAGTTATTATGTATAAGCAGAAAACCCAGGTTCTTTAGAAATTTCAGAGTCAGTTTGTTGTTTGTTCAATTTAGATAGATAATGTAGCATTAAAATGGCCATATTTTAATTAGAAATTATGAGTATTTTATCCAAATGTATGGTTAACCCAAAACTATGACTTAAAAAAAAAATCTGTTGTCAAATGACTTTGCTATTTATTTGGTAACCAGCTTTTCTCCCTGGCAAATATTACTAATATTGACATTGGCACAAAAAGTGTCAAGAAAATGAAATGTTTTTGCTTCTTTGTTTGTACTATATTTCACCTTTTTTTTGCCTATAATTTCTGCATGATATGTGAAAGGTATGTATACATTTAACCCAGCAGCTTTTTTGGACAGAAGTGTTATGACATGAATAATTTTGATGCTTTTTTCCAACAATTGCCCTTTGTTAAATTTAATGCTGAGATCATATTTAAAGAGTTTTCTCTTGTGAAAGAATTAAATATGTAAATTGGCAGTAAAGAGGTTAAATTTTGGGTTTATATTTGAATAATGAAGACAAGCTTATAATTTCAAATTGTTCTGACCAATTACAGTGACTTTGAAAGTTCTTAGAACATCTTTTCATGTGCCATTGATAAACTCAGGAGTCATGGAAGTTATTAAAATTTCTTCCAGCTGCTCAACTATCCAAATGTTTTTTTCTTTTTAGGAAACCTATCAGTTCTGTAGGGTTCTATTTCAATAATGAAGTAATAGCAAGTTCAAATCCCATCTCTCAGATTGACACAGAAGCATATTATTTACTCGAGAAAGTTGTCTGTGAGGAAGCATCAACTCAAGAGAAATATTTGAAGATCGACTGTGCTACTGAACTTAAGGAACAGTGGCAAGGTAAGATGTTTACTGTTTTCTAACTTTTCACTAAATTTAGCTTGTAAACTTCCACATTTTTTTGTTTATGACTGAAGAATCTTTGAAGAGATCATTTGGATGATCACATTACTTGCAATTGCAGAAGTTATAACCATTTTAAGAGATATTTTTTTCCATTGAGAAGTAGGGCTTAAAGGGGCATAGTAGCATAAGGCAGAAAGTGAACCCAAAGGATCAGAGTAAATAGATTTTGCTAGGCATTGGTCAAAATGCTAATGATCCTTTGTACTTCAATACAGTTAGATTCCTGAGGCATATTCTTTTAACATATCAAGGTGGAAAAGAAGTAAGCAGTTTTTATTTTGTTCCTGGGATTGAGGTATTTTTAATTGGGTAGCATTCCTTTGTGTTTTCAAAAATGTTTTGGATAGTAGAGCCCTAATGGATATAATTCATTCTGAATGCGGAACAGTATGTTGAGAAAATTTTTATTTTACTGTATTAAGGCATATTATTCTGAACTATTTTTTTGTTATTGTTATTTATTCGTCTATCAGTAAATTACATTAGGAAAGCAAAGTAACTTAATCGTTTGTTCAGGCTGCTCCACAGCAACGTAGGGGGCACAAGTGGTTCTTGTTGTGAGGCTGTACAAGATAACATTTACTGGGAACAGACTATCAACAATATAACTGTTCTACAGTTAGTAATTGAAAGTAGTCTTAGTTCATTTCCTTAAGCAATTACCTGATTTTTATCCTCCTATGTAGTATATAATTGAATGTTTTAATCATTAATCAAGTCCTCTATATTATGTAGTTTGCTCCTAAAATATCCTGTTTATTTCCACGGAAATTACAACAGCTACAAAGAACACAATAGCACTGCTTAATAGAGAAAACTCTGAGCTACAAAGCAGTGTTTTGTTAGCCTGCCCCTCTGCTGCTATTTGTGCATGGCAACAAAATGTAACAGAACATTGATGAGAAGGTTCAGCCTGTATGTACTGCCGTGTCACCATCATCCACCCCTGACCTTATGGACCAATGTAGTAAAAAAGGAGGTATTACTTTCAGAGCAGCTCTCATATTTATCTACAAAAAGAATAAAAAGAATTTGTGTGATTTCCCATGCTATAGCTCATACCTTTTTAGAAACAGCCTCTCAAAAGAGATAAATCTCCATGGCAGGAGGAGGTTTTTTTTGTTGGTTTTTTTTTGTTTGTTTTGATTTGTTTTGTTTTGTTTTTGAGAACTTACAGATAGTTATTGTACTTAAACAAAAGTAAGTAGGCAAGCTAAAAATACTGGCTTTTCTTTTTATGGGAGGACATTGTCAATGGTTTATGGGCCAGTTCAGCCCTGTTCTGTGACTGATGGGGTGGGGGACCCATGGACCCACAGCCCGGGAAAGGGGAAAGGGTAGGGAAATGGGCCTAAAACAAAACAGCAGCAACAGTCTGAGGAGTAAAACTAATATGAGATATCAGAATGCAAGATAACACAATATAATACAATATAATTGGAATTGAAGGTAATCAAATAAAAGAGAGAGTGTGTCCAAAACCCAAAGGCCTTGGTCTAATGCCGAAGGTGAGATGGCTAGGGAGCATACACTGCAGAGATGAGCAGCAGAAGAGGGACAGTCTTGTGACCTGTGAGCAGTTTTATCTTTCCCTCCGGATGGAAAATGGAAACAGAACAGTGAACAGTCCTCTGAGATGTGTAGTTCTTCTTCTCTTCTGTAGGTATACCTGAACTATCAGCGATCCATAGAACTGGAGCATTGACTCTTTAACTCCCTGTGCTCTACATGATGTTATGATGTGGAATATCGATAACAAAAATCTTAAAACCATGACAGACATCAAGCTATTCATTAGTCTTTTGACAAGTTATTGAATTAACAGATCAATAGTTGTTGATTGGCACAAACACTGCCTTACTTCAAGCCATTTTTCTTAAAAATTGTTGCATTAAAGAATGAAATCTTAGCAAAAGGCTGACCTTTGAGGGAAGTATTTATTTGAACATTTTTTATATCTCTCATTTTGAAAGATTTTAAAGCTATTTAGTGCCACTGAAGACTTGGTAGTTGACTCTGACTAATCTGTTGGCAGCATAAAACCAACTTTCAGAAAAAGCATGAAGATGTATACACTGAATGACAAAACATAGACATTTACTTGATAGGTAAATGTTATCAGAACTGGAATATTAAGAATTGTACAGTGTCATTTGATTGGAAAAAGTGAATAATGCCAAATTAAGAAAGAACATGATAGAGAATTTGAAATGATAATTTATAACTGTATTTCAAATAGAAGAAGATTAAAATTTAATTCTAGATATATTGCTATATATTGTCAGCTTTTTTTTCTACTAACCTGTGTATATCGAAGTATTACATTGTTATTCCTGCTAATGTAAATTGAAAAGAAATTAAAGTCAGTTATTTCTTTTTTCTTGAAATCATCATCATTTGTCAACTTCTCTATTTTTGTCTGTTTTTTTCCAGAAAGATTATCATTGTTGCAGAATTAGCGAATCTATATTTTACTTTTAGATGTAATGCACACATTTCTTTATTACTGCCTGCTGAAATGTATGAACCTGTTACAAATTGCACTGGACTAAGTTATTCAGCCAAAACCTACTGCAAAAGGTCCCTATGGTACTTGATAATGCAAAGAAGAGAATGAAAATAAAGCAGCTTTTCCTTCCAATAAGTGTTATATAAAAGAAAAGAAAAAAAGCTAAAGAAAAAGAGAACTTGTTGGTTAGACCTCTGTAAATCTAGACTAAGTCACATTTAAAACTTTAAAACCATAACATCTTTAAATTAAGAAATAATTATTGTTTTGCTGATATTTGTATCATTTGGACTGTCACTCAATAATTCTTCTGATCATTCTTTTTCTTATTTTTCTTCAGATGTACATGTTGGAGATGAATTTGTTTTTGTTGATAATCTGAAAAACCTTCATCAAAAACTTCCTAATTTATCTACACTTCTGGGCAGATTTAAATTTTTTCGTGTGAGAGATCCTTTTTTAGTTTCTGAAGGAGAGAATTTAACAGAAGAGAGCATTTTTAGGTATCTACAAATTGAATAACATTAAGTATAAATAATAACTTATGAGTAAAACTTTCAACAGGTTAACAGATTTCATATATTAACTTTTTAACTAATTCAACAGGTATAGATTTTGGCTTTTCTTCTCCCATAGAAAAAAAAATCATAGGATAAAATTTATATATGCTATTTAAAACAAATGATAAATGAATTCATGTTGTTATTACACTTTGTAAGTATTAATTGTGCTCAGGAATTTAGTCTTGGAATGCTGGAAGAATGTCCATTTTCAAGGAATCTCATGCTCCCCTTGACTGCCTCATTCCCTCTCAGTAGAATGCCATTAAATTGAGTTGAGTCTGGCTAAATTTTCTGCTGATTTACTCCATGTTTGGATGACTTGTATAATTTTGCACTTGTTAGGGTTGCCGGATTCACAAGCAAGGCAAAGTAGAATTTAGCTAATTTAATTGTACCTAATTGCATAATAATAGAACAAGGATGAGTTATTTTCCTGTTTTTTGGAACATGTGTTCTAATCTTCCAGTGAGTCCTGGACAAAAGGCATTGTGCATACATAGACTTTAATAAACTTCCTCCAAAGAGAACACAATCCAAATTCCCCTATAACTTTCAGAAATGACAGTCACATGGGAAAAAATGTTAGTGTGAACGTTTAGAGAACTAGCTCTGACCTGCTGATGCACAGCTAGCAAGCCACCAAATATATCATGGTGGGAGTCCTAATCACCTAGTAGAGCACCGAGGGAGACTCTTGTAGACAAAGATACATTTAGATAAATTTCAAATTAATGTAAAGATGGGTGAGTATCTCAAAGATAGACATGGACACATTTTTACTCTTCAATCTACAGCATTCCTCTAGGAAGATAGTTGGTGCCAGGGGTAGATGCAAAAGCTGTCCCACTAAAAAAGTGATTCTTTTCATAGTTTTACCACCCTACAAAGGCCACAAGAAGCAGATCCAATGAACAGGTTTCTTTCTGCTTGAAAAATCTTTCACCCTATCCTTGTATTGTTGCTGTAAAAAGCAAGTAATAGTCTGACTCTTAAATTTAATTTCTCACCATTTTAGAATACTATCACTTAAATTTTAATAGTCAGCATGTTCTACTTTTTTAGTGCACCAAAGATTCCTGAAAATAGGAATGAAAAGCAACTGAAATCAAATAATATCATTTTAGATTAGAGAAATTTTGCATAAAACCTTGGAAGAAAAATAGATCTGCAGATTTTCCAGAAAGCAGACAGTTTCTCAAGACAAGACAGTTATAAATTAACAATTTTAAAAAGTAGATCTTTGTTTCTGTTTTTTTGTTGTTGTTGTTGCTGTTGTTGTTGTTTTTAAGACAGATTCAAATAAGTAATACTACTCTGCACCTAATGTACTGTTTTTCGAAAAACAATTGCATATAATTATATGTTTTGTTAAAACATCCCTTGGAAGTGCCAAGTATATATTTAGAAAAAAAAACTTTTTCCACATATGTAGCTGTCAAAGCTACTGCTAAGATTTTCGGTCTTAGATATGAGGTAATCACTTGCTTTATTTTCTGGTCTTTTAAAGGGAATGTTTGACTTTCCGAAATGAAATACAAATGCAGGAGAGTAAGAATGAATTTCAAGGAATTAAGGAGGACTTCTGTAAAATAACATTAGAAGATAAAGAGGTATCAAGATGTTGTTTCTGCCCAATAATTTTATTAGTGATTATTTTATGTGCATTAATGCTTGTTCATCTGCAGGTCATTTTATGGAGTTTTTTTTTTAATATATATTTTGTAAATGTTCAAAGCTTTTTGTTTCTGTGGTTAGAAAAACTGGTATTATTTGCCTATTTTTAATTTTTCAATACAGTTGGCAAGAATCTTCACTCTGTTAAATTGTTCCTACTAAAACCTGACATATTGTTGGCATATTTATGTAGGTAATGTTGCATTAAGAGTAAAAATGAACTAGAATAGAAAGCCATGGTGTGTCTATGGAAAAGAGAAAGTTCTAATGCATGCTACAGAACCAAGCTTCTTATCTGAGGAAACAAAATGAAAATCACATTTATCTCTTTCTCCATATTTTAATATTCTATAAACAAAAAGATTCAGTTAAACAAATGAAAATTTTACTTGATTCAAAAATGTCTTGTTAGATCCACTCTTTTTATTGCACTGGTTCATTTTGAAATATTGTACACTGTCATTTTTCTATATATTGAACAAAGCTTTGTGTCTGCCATGTATATTTTGTATGTCTTCTTTCTTAAAAGCTCCGAGATCAGGTTAGAATTCATTTAACTTAATTAACTAATTAATTTTTTCCAAGTTAAGACTGTACAATAATGTCAAAGAAAATTTAAAATTTACTTAACATTCTGTGATGATTAATATTTTTCAGTATTTCATGTTGCCTTTTGAGTTAGAATTCTGCAAAAGCAGCAACAGCAAATCAGATTCCCATAAGATTCCATCATATTTGGAATTGAAGGAGTTATTAAATTTAGCTCCAGAAAATATGGCTTATGAAAATATGAGTGAAGAGGTAATCAAAGAAGGTGAGAGCGGGTTTTCTTAAATGTTTTACCCACTTTCCTTATTGTTTTTACAGGCTTAACATGATCTAGCTCTTTTACATTCAATTCACTTAGAATTTATTTCAGACTGTATCAAATTAGAATTTCTGTACATGAAACCATGAACTATGCCATACACAAATTTCAGAGTATTAGAAATGTATCATCAGATAGCCAAGGGGAAATGGCTGGTCTGCCATTTGGTTTAGTCCTCAGTTATGCTGTAAACCTTTTATTCATAACCATATCTGGTTTTCTGTTACCATGTGGAATTATTATGTGTATTTAAGAGAAAAAGATACTGCCTGGGACTCTTTACTTTGAGCTGAAAAATAAATTATAAATGAACTTGCATTCGTTTTATCAAACAAGTGAGGAAAACTGCATCTTTTTGGGGGGTGCAAATTAGAGTAAAACTGTTGCTTATTTAAGGTAGGAGCAAGACTTTAAAACAACATTTGCACAGGGCAGTTTCATATTTACTTCTCTGATAAATTTAGTACATTAAATTATACATGTCATATTCCAGTACCAAACAAAATGACCTGGCCTCCAGTGCAGATGTTTGAGGATTTTGTATATAGAATAAAAAGGAATAAATTGACATTTACTTTAATCCTCTTCAGCAGCAAGAGAACCTGCATTCACAAGCACTTAGTAAACTACATTTAGGCTACCCATTTGTTGCAGAAATCACATCACAATAGAAGTAAAAAGGCTGAGTGGTTCAGATGGTACCTACAGTGCATTGCAGTTGTTTTCCAGCAAGTCAAGAGACAAGACTGGGAACTGTTCCAGTCTATAAGTCACTGATTTATGGCACTTTGTGTTACTAAACATAATGGGAACTTTTCATACTGATAAATTATGGAGATCCACCAAGGAGATTTTTTTAAATTGTTTTGACAGGAAAGATCAATAAATGGTAAATTTATGGCATCCTTTAAAATCCATTTTCAGCTCTCAAAGAAAAAGTTGTGAACAAAATGGAAGTTGCCAAATACTGTCCTACTTCAGTGGTTAACTCCAGTAACAGCATAAACATGTTGGAAATCTCTGAATCAGGTAAGAAGATGTACGCCCAATACTGATAGTTCAAATGAATTGTTCAGGTGGTTGTTCCCATGTTATATTCCTGGGAGCATATGTGCCTCATTTATTTAAAATAAGAGCATTTGGCTTGGGTAATCTGTTTTGTACTTTCACCATAGACGAGTAGAAGTGCCATGCTCCTTTCAAGAGTGCTGAAAGCTAACAGCAACAAACTGTAGGTTCTTTACATTTTTTTTTTTTTTGCTAAAGATGGTGCCTGTAACTTTCATATTTAGTTTTTGTATTTTATTTTTTTTTTATCTTGCAACTTATCTACTCACAGAGGGCAGAGGAAAGTGAAGTTAAGCTGATTATGTTTTTGGAGTGAAAAAATGCAGTTTAAAGTTTAAGTACTGACAAATACTTTCAAAGTATGATGTTGGAGGACAATTCTGGAAGAAGTACCAAGGTCAGGTCTTCCAGAGATACAAACCTACTGCACAATCATTTTGGCTTGTAAGTGGTTCAGTAATGCCATGTGAAATGAATTCAAACGGCCACTGAAGCTGTTTTCCACAGAAATAAACTGAAAATGTAGAGGTGCTGAAACATGGGTTAAATCCTTGCTTTTCCTATGCTGAAATCAGGAAATTTCATTCTGAAAAGCCTGGACTGAAAGTGACATTTGAAATTCATTGTGTCCTGGGAAAAGTGGCGATACTTGATTAAACAGCATTTATATGAATAACTGCTAGGACAGTTGGACTAGATGATCTTGGAAGTGTTTTCCAACACTAGTGATCCTATGATTCTGTAATTTCTCCCTCTAATGTATGTTCTATCTTGCAGAAAGTCTACCTATTTTTGTACTGGGCAATAGCAGCGTTTTCCTACAGCACATGTTCACTTGATAATTTTCCATCCAGCATTTCTAAAAATTCTAGAGTAATTCTGTGCTTTCTTCAGATCAAAAATTGTTTTTTAATCTCAGTTTTAATATGATCTAAAGAAGACTGATGTCTTTCTCTTTCAGACTAATAGAATCATGTTCCTGACGTTGTGCTGTAGTGGGATTTTGATGGGAGCAATCATACCTGCTTAAACTGTCTTGTGTATGGTCGGTTTGGTTTAAGTTTTGTGTTTTCCCACCAAGACAAAGTTAAACTTAATTTCCCTCTGGAGATTATTGCCTCACAAGATTAACTTTAATCTGAATCCACTGAACTAGCTGCCTGCTCTTCGTACTTGAAGTACTGATGATAGACAGGAGGAGTTGAAGTATAGTTTCTTTGAGAAATTTGGGACTCTTATGTATATAGTAATAACAAGTTGGCTATGGCCTTACTTAGGATCTTGTCCATTCTTCCAGTACAGATGAGTAGGCAAGACATCTTGAATTATTTTTTAGAAGAAAGTGACATCATTAATCTCTGTTACCAATTTTCTGGCTGAGATCTGCTACTGAACTCAGTAAGATTCAATCACTAGGGCACAGACAGCTTACATATCTTTCTTTTATTTTTTTCTTTCTTCTAAAGATGTTCACAGATCTGTAGGCTTGACATCTGCAAACCCAACTGTGTTACTAAGACAATGTTTCTAATGGAAGTTCCTATATCGGATCAAATTTCAACAGGGAAACCTTAGTATTCTCCATCTCTTTCTTAGTTTTGCTATATCTGAGTTAACAGAAGCACAACATTTTTGCTAAGACTCCCAAGAAGAATCAGTCTGAAAATAATGACATTTTTAATCAACATTTGTTGTTTACCAACCTTTCCTGCTAGCTATGGGAGTTATTTTTTGATAAAGGAGATGAGAGTCAAGAGAAGCCACTCAGGTTTTCATGTTATTAGAAAGTGAATAACCGTCTAAGTAGAGGCAATGTTCAGCTAATGTAGTGGGTCAAAATGTTCCAGTCTCAAGGACAGAATAATTAGACGTGAATGAGTATGAACAGTATTGCTAAAGGAAAAATAACTATTCTTTATTCAGTAATTTTGCTGTCCTGAGATAAGCTCCCATCTTGCCCAAGAAAAATTGTTAAATTTGTTTCTTGACATGAAAAAGATGCTAGGGAATCTGAAGTTCACAGCTGAAGTTCATAGAGATTTTTTTGGTTCTAAGTGAGAAAGAAATTTTACGTTTTGGAAATGTGCTTCTTTCTTTTGTAACAACTTTATTTTCTTACTTTTCAACATATACTGTTTATTCTCTGGCTTCCTAACACTCTCCTGTATCCTTCCTGCCCTACAATCTGCTTGTTAGTTTAGTCAAGGAGCAGCTGCAAGTAGCTGGGCAGGTGTCTGAGCTTACTGAGTGCCAGTTGGCCTAACAAAGTGCTTATGGTTATTGCAGCTGCTTACAGCCTGTTGAAATGAATAGGGAATTTGTTACAAACGTTTTTCCATATGGAGGCACTAATTTAATTCCAGTTTTTCTGGCTGTTATTTTTCTGAGAACATGGAAGAACTGTTGGGTTTGTTTGGTTTTTGTGATCTCTGGTTTCTGGTCAAACTTAACTTTCAATACTATTGGAAGAGTGCTGGAGAGATGAGTACCAGGCCAATCATATAGACCTGCAATTTTTATGGAATTATACCAAAAACCCACCAAGTTGCAAATTCTGCATAAGATTTTAATGGAAAGAAATAATCTATTAAAATATTCACATTTAATATGATTAGAAAAAAAAAGGTTATGAAAAATGACTGACACATACTAGTAACAAACATGTTTGTCTATATACGGCTTTTAGAAACAGTACTGTAATTCATTTCAGTGTTCACATCTATAAATTGAAACAAGAACTAACGCTATTTGGAAACAATTCCATCTTTATAAGCTTGAACTTTGTTCCTGAATTTTCTAGTTCTATGTGGTTGCATGTGCACTGTTATAGACTCCACAAAAATTGTCTCATCTCTCCAATCTGAATAGTTTCATTTACGTGGGAACTAAGAAAGCCAACAGTGGTCATCACTTAACATCAGACCTCACTCATAATACATGGTGATTTAATCCTAAGCATTACATTACATGGGAGAATAGGTAGCCAGAATTACGTTACAGAATGAATAAGGAAATATAATCTCTATACATTTTTATCTCCAAACTGTCTGGGAATTAAATATGAAGTTTGCCTATTTATTTTTTATTGCTGAAGTGGTGGATTATCTCATTAAAACATTAGGAATGTTAGTGAAGAACATCATCATTGTAAAATTTCTAACTTTTCATTCATTCATTCACATGAAGCCTTGTGTATTAGATTTTTGTTTGGTTTGGGTGGGGTTTTATACATTTTCTAGCCAATCACATCTCATATCTGAAAGATGAAATGGAAGTACCTTTAACTCCTCCGTGCAAACAACAAAGATCAAGGGTGAATTTTCTCTGCATAGGACTTCAAGAAGAACTTAATCCTCTTTTTGATAACAGGTAATGAAAACTTTATAGTAATAAATTATGTCATAAATACTCTAAATCATAAATCCTTAAAGTTAGTGCAAAAATTGCTCTGGTCTATTTGTGAATTGGTAGTGATGTACAGTGAGACAGTTATACATATATTGTCTTACAGTGTGAACAATGTGAATTATCTCTATCTGTGGCCTTTTTTAACAGAGCTTGAAAAAAGAAACCACAGTTTCTATTGTAAACCTTTTTCTCCTGGGAGATCTGATAGACTGAAAATCCATTCTCATTTTTTGAATAGGCAACAGTAAATATGTATATATAGCATGTATATATAGCAAGTATATACATTTGCCAGGTATCACCTACCAGAAGAGATTCTGGAGAAAGTAAGAAAGTATTTTCTGTGGTATTGGGGTACACAGCTGGAATTCAAGCCTTTTCATACTGACATAGAATCAGGATGGTTTCATCCTTTCCTTTTTATTCTGCTGTAAGACTAACATATTTTGTCTTGCTCTCTCTTCCATATATGCAGAAAGGCTTTAAATACCTTTCTTGGAAGGGAATAATCTAGAGAGAATTCTCTTGCAGCACCACTTTGCTTCACGAAAAAGACATGATATCTTCTCTCATGTCTACCTTCTTACAGTGGTGTTGCATGAAATTATGTCCTATAGGCACAAGAAAATATTTTTAATGAATGAGTGTATGAACATGAAATTTGAAGAGATGGTATATCTTTAGAAGAAGTTTTGTATAAATCAACCAGTTTTGAAATTCAACAGATAATGCTGTTAAACTTCACACTTCTAAGTCTTCTTTTATATTCTTCTTAGTATTTTGATTACAGAGCCCTCTAGGGAACACTTAGACTCTTTAGTATGGCAATCAGAGAAGTACTGGGAAAATGAGAGCTCTCTTTTACTTGTCGGTAAGGAAATACTGAACTTCTAACTGATTTTGAACACTTCTACATACATGGGGAAAATGAGGTGGAAAAAATAATGTTGTAATACAGAGCATGTCTTTTGAGCCACTGAGGCTTACCCCGTTAATGTAACTCTCTGATTTGGATAACCTGACCTATTAAAGTAAACATAAATACTATCAATACAAAAGCATAAATAATATCAATGCAACAAAGAATTTAGTATGTCATGTATTCTTCTGTGAAGATAATCTGAATGAAGAGTTTCACTTCATTACAAAATGTTCTGTTCAATACTACTAACTGTTTTCAAGAAGTGAGGTAATCTGAGCATAAAAATAAAATCTATTGAAGTATTTTGGATGCTATTTTACCTAAAGTATCAAGCAATAGGAAAATACTGAAAATGGGAAATAATTTTTTAACTTGACAAGAGCAGAATTCATGCTATGAAACAAAACAACAACAAAAAGCTGCAGGTGATTTCTCACAGCACCTGAATACTCATTACTTTGCTTTTAAGTCTGTTAATGGGCACTGGCTTACAAACAAAGTAAAACCAAGGGATATGCGTACTACACGGATCATGAGTACCTGCTATTTTTCATTTCCAAAATGACATTCTGCTTATTTTCGTTTCTGAATTATTGATATTATATGTTGATTTCTGTTTTTGTAGAGTATCAGAGCTTTAAACTCGAATATCGGCGCCATTCTCTCACAGAACTAAAGAAAATGCTATCAGTTGATGTAGAAACACCAGTGCTTATCTCACTAGAGAAGGACTGGTGGCTTCATATGGGATTAGATCTGATCTGCGTTGATACTTTGGAGCAATTTAAGAGGGATTCCAGTAATACAAACAATTTGCTTTCTACAGGAGTAGAAACATTCACACAATTTCCTATACATCAGTTAGAAAGTAAGTATCTTCTTTAAAATAAATCAGTGGTAAAAAGGCAAAGATAGATACAGAGAAAGTGAAAGAAAGGGATGGTTACATACATCCAACAAGGACAGAAAGGAAAGATTTTTTGTTTTCAAGAACAAGTTGTATAACACTGTGAAGCAAAAATACTGCTGTAGTTAAGATGTACTTTCAGAAACTTAAAACATCTTGCAGTAACAAAAATGTTTAAATACACAAAGTTATATTTTCTAAAAGTATGCAGATGAAATGTCAACCATAGTTCTTTTAAATTAAATGGTTTCATACATCGCAACCCATTGCTTGAACAAGTGTACTCTTCGTTGGGTGAAAAACAAATGCTAGAGTGTGTCCAGAGAAGGGAAGGGCCTGGAGCATTGGTCTTTGAGGAGTGGCTGAGGGAACTGGGATTGTTAACTTAGGAGAAGAGGAGGCTCAGGGGTGACCTTATTGCTCTCTACAACTCATTGAAAGGAGGTTGTAGCGAGGTGGGAGTTGACTTCTGCTCCTGGGTGGCAGTGATACAGGATGAGTAGTAATAGTCTCAAGTTGCACCAGTGAAGGTACAGGTTGGATATTAGGAAAAATTTCTTCTCCAAAAGATAGTTGAGGTATTGGAACAGACTGCTCACAGAAGTAGTGGTGTCACTATCACTGGAGGTACTCAAGAAATTTGTAGACATAGCACTTAAGGACATAGTTTAGTGGGCATTTTGGTGATGGGGTAGTGGTTGGACTAGGTGATCTTAGAGATCTTTTCCATTAAGATAATTACTCTATGATTCTGCATGGAAGAATTCCTTTGGAAATAGTAATTTTGGTTTAGAATATTTTGATTTTGTTTGTTTCTTTATTTATTTATGTATTTTGTCATAAACAAGTCTGTGGATGACACCAACCTGTGTGGTGTGGTTGACAAACCTGAGACTTGGGATGCCATTCACAGAGGCCTAGACAGGCATGAGCAGTGGACCCAGATGAACCTCAGGTTCACCATATCCAAGTGCAAAGTCTTGTACCTCAGTCATGCAACCCTCACCAGTACAAGCTGTGAAACACTAGGATAGAGAACAGTCCTGCTAAAAAGAAGTTAGAGGTACTGGTAGATGGCAAGCTGGACATGAGCCAGCAATGTGCCTTCACAGCCCAGGCCGTCTGTATCCTGTATCCTACATTAGAAGAAGCATGGCCAGCAGGGTGAAGGAGGTGATCCTGCTTCTCTGCTCTGCACTGAAGAGACCTCACCTGGAGCACTGCATCCGAATGGGGACTCCTCAGTACAGGAGAGAGCTGGACCTGATAGAGCATGTCCACAGTAGGGACAAGAAATGATCCAAGGGATGGAACACTTCTCCTATGAGGACAGGCTGAGAGAGCCCGGGTTGTTCAGCCTGGAGAAGAGTTCAGCCTGGAGAAGAGGCTCCAGGTAGACCTGATAATGGCCTTTGAGTACCTAAAGAGCAGCTACGAGAAAGGAGTCAGACACTTAGGTAGGGTCTGTTGTGATAGAATAAGAAAAAATGGTTTCAAACTAAAACAGATTTAGATTGGATATAAGGGAGAAGTTTTCCTAATCAAATGTGTTGCTATCCCACTTCTTAGGAACCTAACAGCAGAAAGCATCACTTTTGAAAACTTAACAAAAACAGTAGCATGGCCTTCTGATTCTCAGAATTGAATATTTTGACTGAGGAGTAATAAGTACAAATTTTCTAAAATCAAATTCTAGCAATCTGGGAAGACCAAAAGAAGAAATACAAAAATGTTTTCAATCCAAAGTAATTTACTTCAACTTCAAAGAGCAATTAAAAAAAATCTGCATTACAGCAGAGAAATCAAATTTTATTTTTTAGGATGGCCTGAAGAAAAGAATTCCCTGTCAGATCAGGAATTGCTTTCTAGTGAAAGACATCAGATGGATGAAGTAACCGATCATGGCATGTCACCTCAGACAAAGATGCAGCACTTTGGTCTGCCTATAAGTGCTGCATCTTCTCTCAAAATAGACAAAACAAATACATCTCTGGAAAATGTTACTGCAGGAAATATACAAAAGAGAAAGACAGAAGAACCTGTTTATCTCTTAAACCAAGAAGAGAAGACAGACCCATTACTTGTGTCTGTGAGTTGTAAAGATATGCCTTTTAAACATCACAACTCTTCTGTGGGTCAAAAGCTCACATCGTTCACACTTGATTCAAAATGGGACAATGATGATTCTGGTCTGAACAACTTTATAATGCTAAGGTGTAAACACACAATCACTCAAAGACAGGGAAAAAATGATGTAGATCATCCTGAAAAAGGTATGTGAATCATTTTATTCTGCTGTTATTCCATTTTCAATACTGTTTTCTAATGCCGGTTACCATGGATGCTGATAGTTCATATTTGTAGAATCATGGGGGAAAAATCTTAGCTCAGTGGTAAAATTTTTAAGATCTTTAATGTAGTTAAATTTTCATCTAAGGTTCTTGACTTCATTTGTTCTTTAGATTTCTTTGGGGTTTTTTGTTTGTTTGTTTGTTTGTTTACAGTTTTGTTGAATTTTTTTTTATTTTGTTTTGGGGTTTTTGTTGTTGTTGTTGTTGCTGGTTGGTTGGTTTTTATTGTAATATACATGAGTTTATTCCTGTTCTGAAGAGTGACTTTAAATTGTACTTACTCCAGAAGATCTGAATATCAGGCAACACTTATTTACTGTGTGAGTGCTAGAGCCCTGGCACAGGTTGCCCAGATACTGTGGAGTTTCTGCCATGCACATCCCCCAAGTGGCCTGGATGTGGTCCTAGGCATCCTACTCTGGGTCTTCGTGCTGGGACAGGTGTTAGAACAGGCAAACACAGAGATCCCTGCCTATCTCAGCCACGCTGGGATTCTCTTTTTTCTGTATGTCCTGAGTAAGTTCTCTGGAGAAATCAGTTACTTTTATTTTTGCTTTTGTAGAGTTAGCATAGCCTAGACAATGAACAAGAGATAAAGTTCTCTCAAAAGAACTGCTGGAACTGTTTTTGTTCCTATAAACCACAGAAAATAATGAGAAAGTACAGGTGTCAGAGAAAACAAGAAGTTATTGTCAGCTTTGTTCTCACAGTGCTTATGAGAGAAGCTCAGACTATAGAGTGAGCACTGCAGGACTGAAAAGAGAGGAAAAAGAATAAGAGGAAGTCCTTATCTATTTAAAAAAAATAAAGGAGTGGGGTAATTTGTGATGCAGTGACATATATCCAAACTCGTTTTCATGATGATCATACAAAAAAATATTTTTTTCAGTTTTTGGACTTGTGTACCAAGGTTTTTGACACCAACTTTTTATTGCGTTTCAGTTAAGTCTCACCATCAAAAAAATAATGTTAAATAAAAATGTTAAGCAGTAATTCTTGTGGAATTGAATTAAGATGTTTATTTAACTACAAGTTATTTTTAATCTTATAGAGCAAATTAATTCTGTGTGAAATTAAACTTTTGCAGTTTCTGGTAGACATTTCATCCCTCCTTCCCTTTCCCCCTCCCAACCTCCCCCTGCTAAAAAACAAACAAACAAACAAACAAACAAACAAAAAACCACTGAACTTTCATGGCCTTATTGAGAAGCAATCTCACTTTTTAAACTACTAGAGAAGTTATCAGAAGTGTAGCTTTATGCTACCATCTAGTGAATTTTGACTACAACTGCATCTCCTAAGAAGACGAATAAAAATGTTTTGAAAGATAAGCAGTCAATTCTACACTTTCAAACAGGGAGTAGTAAGCTTGTGGAAGTTTTGGTTAATGAAACCGTAGAAAGATACATGCTAGCAGGTAGACCCCAGTGTAACAGATCTGTTATGTCTGATGTAAAAGCAATGCCTTAAAATATATAGTTATTAATGTGAAAAGCATTGATGTGAAAAAGGTGTAAATGTATATGTTTTTGTAATAATTAAAGCCTTATTAAAAGTCATTCTAAATTTAGCCTAATAAATACTTGCACTCCTCATATGGCCATTCCACCTTTGTTTCTCTTGTTTAGCTTACCTTTTAAGGATTCCACTTTGCATAGTACTTAGTTTAGAAAATATACAAGAGAAAATAGGTAAAACCAATTTGTTGATACAATTTTAATTCTCGTTTGGCTCTTTAGAACAAGGGGGCTTTTAAACTTAATTAGAAATGTAGGGTTTTTTTAATCATATTTTCATCTCTATTTGATCAGTTTGTTTTTTGAGTTGACTGAAGTTCTTGACTGAAAGTAATTGGCAGTGTTTAGAAGACAATCGGTCAGAACCCATTTCTGAAATAAGAGATAGCACTGACAAAGGAAGCTTTGTGAACAGAAGTGCATGGAGGTCATCTATCAGCATTTATAAAGAGCGAGGCAAAAAAAAATTTTTTTTTAAATACTAGTAACTTACAATAGATAGCTGTAAGATAGGAAGAAATTGTTATCTTATGTAAGCGATTGTTCAAAGAAAATTTTTCTTCTGCCATTTGATGTTTCCATGTTCTTTCTGGGTTGCTTATATTATCTAATTCCTTCTACTCATACTTGCTCATTATCTAGCATCTCCACTCACAGTGGCTGAGAACTTGTTAGCACTTCACTTCCTAGGAAGTGCAGCCTGACACTGCCACATCTTGGTCTGTCTCAATGCTTTTTTCAGTAGTAAATGAGATGTTTGCGAAAAGAAAACATCATGTATGTCTTACAAGCTACCTAATTTGAAAAGCTTTTTTACATGTAAAGTCATTTACAAAACAATTTTCTTAATCATTGAGAGGATTTTGTTATGTTTGTATCAAAATTTTTATCCCTGATTCAATGATTCAGTGCTGCAGCCTGAAGAACTACGTGTACCTGATCACAAAGAAGACAGTTCTGTTTGTGATCCTGCAAGATCAGAGAAAAAAGAGCAAGAGAATTACAGCAGTATCATAGTCAAAATTCAAGCATCAGGTATACTAATTTTTTATGTACTTTATAGCACTACAGATGCATAACATTGCAGCATATTATCATTTTATGTTAAAAAATTCCAATTGGATAAATAATGGAAATGATTAAGCTTACTATCATCCTTGTGATTGATGATATTCAAAAGAGATGGGCATTTGTGTACATTGGTGTGAGCACAGACTATGTGATTACGACTTAAGACGAAGACAAATTCCATGCAAACCAAAAAATACAGGTTTTTAGTTATGTCTGACCCATCAGCTGAAATGAAATCTCTTCAGATTAATCAGTATTCTCAAATTACAAATGTGAATTTTTCCATAGAGTAAATGAGAGAATGGGAGGCAGGATGGATTAGCAGTGAAAATGTCTTTAATTAAGCACAGTTCAACAAAGTAACCGTGCACTGTGCACATCCACACAATAGCAATTTGCCCCATGTTTATCTAGTACATGACTGAGCCCTACTCACTGAACTCCTGCTGCTGTATTTTTTTAAGGCATTACATCAAAGAATATGCACTGAGAACTACAGTTCTGCCATACAGTAGGAGTTGTAGGTAGGAGCCATTCCTGGTAGATAAATATTAAAAATATATTTATCCAAGATATTTTACAGCCTCAAAGTAAACACATTCAAAGCAAACCCAACTCCATTACAGTCTTTGAAATGGAGAGTGTTTCATTGTGCTTCAACAAATGCAAGTGCAGGATGCTGCACCTGGATTGGGACAATCATAAACAATGTCACAAATTTGGGGATTAAAGGATTGAGATCAGCCTTGCAAAGAAGGACTTGTGGGTACTGGTGGATGAAAAATTGGACATGAGCTGGTAGTGTGCATATGCAGTCCAGAAACTCTGTACTACATTGTGCTGTGTCAAAAGAAGCATGACCAGCAGATTGAGGGAGGCAAATGTCCTCCTCTGTTCTTGTGAAGCCCTACCTACAGAGCATCTAGCTCTGAAGCCACCTGGACCTGTAAGAGTAAATTTGGAAGGGGACCACAAAATGAGTAGAGACCTGAAGACTCCATCCTATGAAAAAAGACTGAGAGTGCTGAGTTTTTTCTGTCTGAAGAAGAGAAGGCTCAGAGAAGACCTCATTATGGCCTTCCAGTACTTAAAGGGTGCTTATAAGGAAGAAAGACATTTACAAGCCTATGCAGTGACAGAACAAGGGATAAGTGTTCTAAACTGAAAAGGTTTTGATTTAGATTAAATATTTAAAGGAAATTCCTTACTCAGAGGGTGAGTAATGCCTGGAGGCATTCAAGGCCAGGTTGAGTGGGCTCTGGGAAGCCTGATCTGGTGAGTGGCAGCCCTGCTCAGAGCATGGAGTTGGTACTGGGTGGGTTATAAGTTCTTCCAACCCAATCCATTCTGTGATTGCCTTGCATATAATGGAAAGGAATCATTCTCAAAAACAAGCGACAGCCAAAATAGACGTTAGAAAGATTCACTTACACTTTTTTTTTTTTTTTAACAGTGAAATAGTGAAGATAGATGACTAGAATTATACTTTAAGAATAAAATGATACATCAGTGCAGGAATATCTGTATTAAATTAAAGTGAGCATCCAAACTTCTGTAATATCTGGCCTATTTTCACACAGAATGAAAAATTGGACTTGATTGTAATGTTTTTTTAGTATGTTTAATGAGTTCTTTCTTAATTGTTAAGAAGTAATGCTCTGATCAAATAAAGCTTGGTCATCAGCTAGCTGAATTACATGATTTGTGTAGGTCAGCTGAAAATACTTTGAAAAGTAATAGTAAATTCTTGGACGAGAAGACTCGCTGAGTTCTCATTTTCTTAACAAGATTGACTCAACTACTATGATGAACATATTAAAATAATGGGTATTAAAGAATTTCACTATCTTTCCTGCAGAAAAGTTCATTCCTTTGAGCTCACTCAGCAATTATCAGCTCCATCAAGGATTCTAATTGTAAAAACATGGTTATGACTTAGAAGAAATTGTAGAACAGCCACCTAGAAGCTATTAAGGACTATTAGTGTACAAATGTGAAAGTACTGAGAGATTGGTTTGTTTGGCTTCACTAGGCAAAGACATCGGAAGTTGAATGCCAGGGAAGGAGAAATGCTGTTTAAATTGATGTTATCGTAACAAATGAAATTAAATCGGCTAAGTCTAAGCATAGAGTACAGAGTAGAAGAAAATAATTAAACAGTGGAGTAATAGTTCAATCTTAGTGGCAGTCATAAAATCCTAACTATCTATCATGTATTTTGGTCACTTTATGAGATGGATGAAATAATGCAATTGCCTGTTGTGAGGAGTAGCTTAATTCTATGACCCAGCAAGCTCTTTAGTGAACACTTGGTGTTCTGAATATTATAGTCTGGTACATGAAGCCAAACTCTACCATTGTGTTCTCTTTTATTCAGAAAGCCAGTGCCAGTCATACTGTCTGCTGAAGGGAGCAGCTACTTCTGCTTTAAAAGATTTGACACATCTGGGTGTACTTGCTTCTGTAAGTTGGAGCTTTGACAACATTAAGTTTGATCACACAAAATTTTTCCTAAAACAACAGGAGAAGGTGATATGTGATCGTTTTAAAGAAGGTATGTTTTTTAAAAGTCTGTGTTCTATCTGCAGTAATAATATAGGTTTATTTGGTGACACACAGCTCAAGGTATCTGTTAAGTAACAAATAAAGTTTCAGCAGTTCATCTTGTATGGTTTTATTTCTAAAATGATATTTCTTACTTTCCTAGCCTTATTTATTAACTTGAACATTGTGACACAAGAAGTATTTTAATTGAATTTCATTTTAAAATATTTTAGATATGATTAAAGAATGTTGCTTGTATATCAAACTGTTATTTATTTCATTTTAGATATTTTAATGTGAAAATCTGTCTATATGTTTTTGTCGTTTCTTTTGGTAGCTTGGTAGCTTTTTTTTCACATTTGCATGACTACAGGAAAAATAAATGAATAATGCTAAGCTTACTTTAGAAATTAGAAGGAAAAAAAAATCTTATTGATTTCATTTCTTTCTAACTTCTGGTACATGCAAAGTCTGTAGAATCAGGGGAAAAAAAAAAAAAAAAACAGAAAAATCTGTGACATCTGTGATAACCAAATAAGATTTTTATGCTACAGATATGAGAAGGACAGCACCAATTCACAGCAAAATACGGACTGAGGAAGATACAGAAAACTTTCGAATATTCTGCTTTTTTTTTTTTTTTTTTTTTTTACAGCAAGCAGTCTACTGCCTGTCTAGTCTGCATGCAATGTCACAATCTCTGTGACAAACTTCAACTGTTCAAACTTTATTGCTTTCTGGGCTTAATATATGTTTCTCAGAATAAAAGCAATGACAATGAAACTGCAAATGAGCAAGAAGATAAACAAAAATTATTTTAGTGGTCTCTGCAAAATGACAGCCTGTGATTTATAGGATTACTATATTGAAGTATAATCAGCAGAGTTCTCTTAACTTGAGGGAACTTCAAAAAGAAAAGCAATCAGCTTCACCAATATATGAGGGAGAAACTGAAATCTGTATCTGTGTCAGTGAATTGCAGAAAGGAAAACGTTTCTGAGAAGAGTATACAAAAGCGTACTGTTGACTAGTCAGATGAGGCAAAAGAATGAAGGATCGAAAGATAGGAATTTATATGTTTATGTGTCTGTTTGAAAATCATCTTACTAAAATCAATAAGGCAGTGTGAATTTAATGCCAGACTTAAGGAACTGTTATCCCATCCTCCAGCAAACACTGTCTATGCCTACACAGCTTTCAGAAATGCTTCCTCATATGATGCTTGCTGTAGATGAGATAACATGAGAAAGTTAGGCTGTATCAAAGCCTTTTGCTTCTTGAACAGTCTTTCAAGTTTATACTTATTTAAGTGTTTTAAGGAAAATTCTGAGATGTTGAGTTCTTTTAAATTTTTGCATATGTATTGTGTAGTTTCTGAAATGTTATATAGACAACACCTATGTCTTCTCTTTCTGAAGGTAAAGTAGATGAGAAAGAGATCATGCTGTTCAGGCATGCTGCTCTGGTGCATCTGCTGGTGACATGTCGAGACCTTCTGTTAACATGTGGCTTGGACACAGCTCTAGGTCTGTTTTTGATAGGGAACGATGATACCTAGAATATATGTTTTTTTGTGTTTCTTCTACAGTCTTTCATGTCTGTGAACTGTGTGAGCTGACAACCAGTAAACCTCCAGCATAGTTTCCATGTCATTTTCTTCTCCTTTTTCTTGTTTGTTTTGTTACATCATTAGATATGAATGACTGTACTTTGGTGCTACAGGTGCTCAGTTCCTGAATAATATTCCACTGTTTGTGGATATGAGCATCTACCTAAATAATGTGTTTGCTTCTTTCCAAACAAGTTTTAATTTGAATCTCTGTGTTGAAACTGGGGAACATGCAAAAGTGACAGGTTATTTGTTGTATACAATTCACATTCTGAAATGGAACAATTTCCACTTACATAGTCTTAGGTTCATTGAAAATGAGGTACTTAAAAGTAAGGCTATTTGAAACAAAATCATAAGTGCTGTCTAACAAACATATCATAAGGCTGGGGTTTTGAATTTACCATCCAGATCTCAGCACTGGACTCACAATGACAGTTTTGTGTTTCTCTACTGTTATTGTAATCAGATTTGGGATCTGAAAAATTCATTATAACCTTATTTTATGCCTAAAGTCACAATGCCATGCTTCTCAAGTTCCCATTGTACCGTGATTTTTCAGAAAGATCTACAGAATAAATTAATTAATGGTTTTTGGATGCCCTAAGATCAGGATCCCTCCATGTTTATAGGAGAGAAAAAAGTGTCGAGTTTCAAACTTCAGTTATTCCTAAGTATTCCTTCATGGAGAGTGTTTCTTCAAAGATGACATAAAATGGAAAACATCAAACATCTGCCATAAACTGAGCTGTTGGAAAAGTAATTAATTTGTATTTGCCTAGTCATTTCTTAGCAATAAAAAACAGAGAGAAAAATTCAGAATGAAAATATGAGTTCTAAAAAAGGTTGTTTTCTGTTGGTATTGTAGATGAAAGTAGGAGGATGGGAGGGAGAGAAAAGAGAAGTTTCTCCCTGCTATGTTGATCAACACTTATCCCAGCAACACCTGCCTCAGGATACTGCACATGTAAAAATGATACTAGAAAATTAAGTTCTGTATAAGCCCTGTAGTTCTCACTTACTGTTATGACCTTGTGCAGTGATGTGTGATTCATCACACAAATGTCTTAAATCAATTTTTACTTTGTACATTTTTTAATAACCCTGGCATTGCTATTGCTCACCATTTGTGCAAAAGACATCATCGAGAGCTGAGCAGTAATTATAAAGTAGGGAACAGAATAGTGAAAACACAGGACAAGCTTTGAACAGTGAAATTTCTTTAGTGTAAACCATACAGACCAATTAAATATAACAAAGTTCCAACTCTAGCTGGAATCATATAATAGGTATTATAGGAGGTATATAAATGTGATTTTATAAATGGCAGTTACATACAATCTTAGTGATAGTAGTATTCTTCCTTATTGTTCACCCATTAAATGTTCAGCTTTTTTTTTGTGTGTGAGATACCCTCACAGATTTTAGTGTACATGTAGATTAGGCATTAAGATATTAACAAATGTCTTCTGTCTCTGCAATTACTTTTTTTTGTTGTTCTCTTAACAGAATATTTGTCTAAAGCAAAAGATATCTATAAAAACATCTTAGAATCCTGTTTGAATAATATCTGGAGGCAGCTGAAGATTGTACAGTACAGCAGCCAGAAAAAGCATGAATCCAGTCCCAGATTAGCAGAGCTTCAGTGTCGAATGTTAGATTGGATGCAAACTTACACAGAGGAACACAGTGTTAAGGTTAGCAATATAAACTATCTCTCTAAGCAAATGAAATTCATCTAAAATTTATTAATAATTGTAAAACCATCTTTGAATGAGAAATGGTATCTGTTAAATAAGGAAAATCGCAGAATCACAGAATGGCTTAGATTGGAATGGACTGTAAAGAACATCCAATTCCAAATACTTGCCATAGGCAGGATTGCCATCCACTAGGTCAGTCTGCCCAGGGCCCCAACCAATCTGGCCTTGAATCACTCCAGGGATGGGTAATCTGTAGCTTCTCTGGGAAACATGTTGCAGTGCCTCAAACCCCTTGGATTAAGGAATTATTTCCTAATATCCAGTCTAAATGTTCTCTCATTTAGGTTGAAGCCATTTCCCTTTGTTCATCACTTTCTGCCCCTGTAACAAGTCAGCCTCGCTCTTACTTTTATACTCTTCTCAAGTACTGAAAGGTTGTAATGAGGACTCCCCAGAGTCTTCTCTTCTCCAAGATGAACAAGCCCAGCTTCTTAAATCTTTCTTTGTAGTAGAGGTGCTCCAGCTCCCTGACCATCTTTGTAGCCCTCATCTGGATTCACCCCAGCATCTCCAAGACCTCGTGCTGGGGGCCTCAGACTTGGACTCAGTATTCAGGGTGGGGGAATGAGAACAAAACAGAAGGGGTCAGTCACCTCCTTCACCCTATTGGCCCTCTTGACACAGCTTGGGATAAATTTGGCCTTCTGGGTTTCTAGCACGCACTGCTGGTTCATGTACAGCTTTTCATCTACCAGTCCTTCTCTGCAGGACTCTCTGCAGGGAGAATCCAAACACAGCACCTTGCACTTGTCCTTGTTGAATTTCTTTAGGTTCATGTTGGTCTATTTTTCAAGCTTCTCCAGATCACTTTGAATGGCATGTCTTCCTTCTATTGTGTCAACTGCTTCACTCAGCTTGGTGTCATCATCAAACTTGCTGAAGATACACTCAATCCTACTGTCATGTCATTGATAAAAATGTTGAGCAGCAGTCCCGACATGCATCCCTGGGGGACTCCAGTTGTGACCAGATTCCAGCTGGACATAGAGCCATTTACCACATCCCTCTGGCTGCAACCATCCAACCAATTCTTTATCCACTGAATAATCCAGAATTCAAAGCTGTATCTGCTCAATTTAGAAATAAGGGTGTGGGACCATATCAAAGGGCTTGCAGAAATACAGGTAAATGACAACAGTTGCTTTCTATTTGTCTACTGATGGTAGACTAATCCTCCGCTGCATCATAGAAGGCCACCAGATTTGGTGGGCATAATCTACCCTTCAAGAAGCTGTGCTGGCTGTCTCAGATGTTCCTTTTTCCATTTCTTAAAAATGGCTGGGATGTTTCCCTTTTTCCAGTCACCAGAGACTTTCCCTGACTGCCATGACTTTTCAAGTATAATGAGAGAGGCATAAAATAAAATTAAGGATAACATAAAGTTTAAGACATCTATCAGGAGTAATGCACGTTTGTGTTTCTTTGGATCTCCCCTTCTGCATGAGTAAAACAACATGCATAGAAGTTTTAAAATTGTAAGAGCTTCGTTTTTTTGCAGATGGTATTTGTTCCTCTGATAATTATATTGTGTCATATCAATAAATTAATAATTAATTAATTAATAATAAATTATCAATTAATTAATAAATGTAAATTTCATCATAACCTTTTATTTGGTAGCTTCAATCTTCTTATCTTCTTTTGGTGCAGAAACTCATAGCACAAGTAAGAGCTGTGTGTGCAGTGGTGCTCAGGGCACAGACACTGGAGTGTATGGTTGTTGTTTTCCATAGTCTCTCCTTGACAAATGTATCTGCCCAAATTCCCCATATTACATTTATATGAGTAAATACCTGTGAGGCATGGTTATGGCACTGATAATAGAACTGTGGAATTAATTAGTTTCAGGGTGGGTTTTTTTTTCTGGAAATGTGAATATTCTGAGTCATTTCATGCAAGGAATAATACCATTTTCATTTGTGTATTATTTATTATTTACTTACAGAACACTTCCCACATAATAAAACAGAAATGAAAAAAATATATATATACTATATATATATTTAAAAATCTTGACATTTTGCAATAGAACTTATGCTACTGAAGACACAGCCGAAAAAATCCCCAAATCTTCAAGCTTATTTTCATTTATTTTAGTTCTTTCTCATGTTTCACTTCTTCTTTTGACTCTGTTAAGAGAACATGTCGTGATTTAACTTTCAAGAAAAGAAAACTATAGAATCAAAGAATCATGGAATGGGTTGGAAGAAATGTTAAAGCCCATTCAGTTCCAAACCCAATGCTGAGGACAAGAATGCCACCCACCAGATCAGATTGCCCAGAACCCCACCCATCCTGGCCTTAATCCTCCATGAATGGGGCATCCACAGCTTCTCTGGGCAACCTGTGACAGGGCCTCAGCTTCACCATCCTCACAATGAAGAATTTCTTCCAAATATCTTGAGTGCACCCTCAGCAAGTTTGCTGACGACACCAAGCTAAGTGGTGCGGTCGACATGGTTGAAGGAAGGGATGCCATTCAGAGGGACCTCAAGAGGCTAGAAAGGTGGGCCCAGATGATCCTGATGAGTTTCAGCATGGCAAAGTGCAGCGTTTTGCACTTGGGCCGGAGGAATCCTAGGCATCCATACAGACTGGAAGGAGCGGTCCTTGAGAGCAGCCCTGTGGAGAAGGACCTGGGGGTCCTGATAAATGAAAAACTTAACATGAGCCAGCAGTGTGCCCTTGCAGCTCAGAAGGCAAATGGTATCCTGGGCTCCATCAAAAGAGGGGTGGCCAGCGGGGACAGGGAGGTGATTGTTCCCCTCTACTCTGCTCTTGTGAGGCCCCATCTGGAGTACTGTGTCCAAGTGTGGAGCCCCCAGTACAAGAAAGACAGGGAACTGTTGGAGAAGGTCCAGAGGAGGACCACAAAGATGATCAGGGGACTGGAGCACCTCCCCTATGAGGACAGGCTGAAGGAGCTGGGCTTGTTCAGCCTGGAGAAAAGAAGGCTACGTGATGACCTCACTGCAGCCTTTCGGTACCTAAAGGGAGCCTACAAACAAGAGGGAAATCAGCTCTTTGAAAGGGTGAGTGACAGCAGGACAAGGGGAAATGGTTTTAAGTTGAGGGAAGGGAGATTTAGGTTGGACATCAGGAGGAAATTCTTTACAGAGAGAGTGGTGAGGTGCTGGAACAGGCTGCCCAGAGAGGTTGTGGATGCCCCATTCCTGGAGGTGTTCAAGGCCAGATTGGATGGGGCCCTGGGCAGCCTGGTCTAGCATTAGGTGGGATGGTTGGTGGCCCTGCATGTGGCAGGAGGGTTGGAGATTCATGATCCTTGAGGTCCCTTCCAACCCTGGCAATTCTGTGATTCTGTGATCTTACCTAAATTTATCTTTTTTAATTTAAAACCATTTCCCTTTGTCCTGTTTCCACAATCCCTAATGAATAGTTTCTTCTCACCTTTTCTGTAAGCCCCTTCAGCTGCTCTCAATGCACTTATTGCCCAACCTGCACTTGACTTACTCTTGGGATTGCCCCCACCATAGGTGTGCTAAAAGTCCAACAAGTTGTTATATTGGAATTTAAATTGGATATGAAGCACCTAAAACAAAATATTATTAATTGTTTGGGTGTTTATCTTTCGTTAGTACCTGTATATTGATTTTATCATCATTTTCTTGTTCTTAATCATAATGCATTTTGCTTTCTGTTACTAAGATCATGCTGTGCTAGGGGACTTATGACAACTTTGTCATTTTGATGCCAGCTCATTGACAATTTTACCTTTCTTATCAACTCCACTAGATGCAATTTTTTAAGCTTTGAAAAATAATTTTTGATTTGCCAGTTTGACTTAAATTTGTGTCTGCAGAATTTCAGAGTTTACATGATTTTATTCAAAATTATCATTCATGCTTCACTGACATTCAGTGACAGGTCTCAGTCAAACAGAAGAGACAGAAGTATTCTGGTTTTAATGCAAAGTGAAAGCTGTATTACATAAGTCATTTCCTACTCTGTCATATCACATCAGCATCTGTTAGTACAGTATGAAACATGATAATCTAGTTAGCCTTTAATGAGCCAAATTTATTGTTGATGGTTACAGAATAGGAAATCTCTTCTGTAAAAATAAGGTACTAACAAAACAAAAGAAACAAATCTGAAATGAATTTCTGATCTTTCTGTTTCACTTTGTTTTATTTCTACACATGATTATGTAGGATATCACTAAAAATATATAATCTAGCTCACAACAGGATGTCCTGAGTATGCTGTTCAGTGATGCAGTCAAAAAGCAGATCTGCATTTTAAGTTACAGATGTCCAAATCTGTTTTGACAGGAACCACTGGGTTGGCAGGTGGCTGTTCTCTTCAGCAGCACGTGGAAATTTGTCTTTTTTAAGGTTGTCAGGTGGATAGATGTCCAGAAGTTATTTTCTAAAAAGGTCTAATAGAGTTTTGACATTTACATATATAATTATCTTGTGCCCTTAGGTCTTAGAGTTAGATTAGTTATGAGCCTTCTTTAAAATCTTATCTTGTTTGTCCCAAGAAAAGTGCATACAAAATTTCATACCAGTTCAGATGTCATCCTGTCTGAAGCTGAAGGTCTGGTGTAAGTCCAGTATGTGTGTACACATTCTTATTTAAATGTTTTGATTATTTAATACAAATTCAGTTTGTACCTTTCAAAATTTTGGATAAGGTAAACATATTTTCCAGTAATGACCAGAGTATGATTATTTGCTGGGTTCTAATCTTTTCAGTGTTTCCATCTTCAGCAATGCTTAGCAACTATCAAATGTAATCCGGCTTTAGAAGTGATACTTCAAAACTCTCCATTTACAGTCGGGAAAATCTTTCTAATTGGTATGGAAGGATGTAGTGCCTCCCTCCAGTACATCACCACCTTAATTCTAAATATCTTCAGTTTAAGTTTTGCCTCCATAGGGATAACATCTCTAATGTGACAGTAATAATCTGTCTATTGCAACAGTAATAATGCAGTGTACTGTCTTAGTATTTTTAAAATCATTTTTCCTTTGATTTAAAAATTCAGATTTCAGACTTCTATTAGAAGAGATCGGTCCATAAAACTGAAGTACTGGTGTCTCCCATAGTGTAATTTTTCAAATATGGTAATAATATTTGCAGGTACTTGTAATTTTGGAAAATTCTGATATTTCCATTTTTGACACATGCTTAGTCAATCTCTCTCTCTCTCTTTTTTTTTTTTTCCTCCCCAAAGCAGAAAGAAAGATATTAAGTAGACTAAAAGGTTTGTTTTTACTTCTTTAACTTGTCTTCTTCCAGATACTAATCATATTAAGAATGGACTCTGAGAGAGAAAAAGCAGCTCTCATTCACACTGTATCTAGACTAGAAGGTAAATAATTATTTTAATCTTTTTTTGAAAGAAAAAGTCTGTGTATTCTGTGCTTCGTTATTTTCCTCTTTAAGCGCTTTTTCAAATGTCTCTCATCCTTCTCTTCACTGGGACATTTTTATGTACTTTTCTCACTTTTTTTCTGTTTCCAAACTCTTCTATAAACCTTCCTTTTCACTCCCCTCCCTCATTTCTAATGTGTTTGTTTTTTTTTTTTGTCTCTTTGAGATTTCTGTTATAATGTCTTGTTACAAAAGAATGAGAGTCATGCGTCAGGTCAAAAAATGTAATTAACAGAACGGAAAGTATATGTGGCATCCATTGCCTAATATAATTGTATCGGTTGCTCAGATTATCTGTTTATATTTGATTGTGGGTCAGAAGTATTCTTCCTTCCATGCCAAGTTTAAGGATAATTTAGAAGTCTTAAGTAAATTTTCTGACATAAGGCTTTTGGTGTAGGTCATAATTTCCTTTCACCACTTGTTTCTGACCTTGTATGTTAAATACAAGGCTAAATACATGAGCATCATCATTAACAAACTATTACAATCAAGAAAAAAACATGGATTTCCTCTCCCCCAGTCTCACTGATAAAGCAACACTGTTATCATTTTACTTTTGTGTAATCATTATACAAGCTTTTTCAACATAGATTCATTTGGTAGAAAAAAGTGTTTCAGAAGATTGATATTTGAGCCTGTACTTATGAATTGGGCAAGTCACTGATTCTTTTCATGTTGTTTCTTAAAACTTGCTTTTGTGACTTTTTGCTTAAATGTTAACAACGCCATGTATTGTAACGTTCTTCTGCTTTTTAAAATAAAGTTGAATTTCCTTTGCTCTTTAAAAAAATGACAACTTATCTTTCAGAATAGTTTAAAGGAAGGAGACATTCACAATGTTATTACTAATTATAATAATGTTTACTGTTAAGTGTTCAATTTGTTTCCATTTCTTAAGACTTGATTTCAAACACAAGCCAATCCAACTAACTTAAACTTTTCAAAAGAGGCCTTCGTGTTACACAAATAACAATTTTCTTAACTGCATCTTCTAGTCATGTTTGCAAGACCTAGAGCATACAAAAAGCATACAGGAATTTAAAACTTAATGGCAAAAAATGCTTCATTCCGTACTAGCTTTGTACTAGCAGAAGACATTGTATTTGATTAAGATTTCAATAATTTTTATGCAGGTTTAAAAGCTATTGATTTGGATTCTGAGAAAAAGGGAAAGATTCTGGGATATAAAGATATCATCAGCAAGTAAGTTAAAATCTAGATTCTAAAGAACAGAGCCAGAAGACCTTTCTCATGGTTTTCTTCAGTAAAACTTTTGTTCATTTTCATTGTAGTATCTTGTTCTAGATATATTTTCAGAAGAGAAAATTTTGTCCAAACTCCAGCAAAATGCTTAGTTACAAGGCTCATAGGAATTCCTCTTGCAATTGCACATAAGTGTTTTAGAAAAACTCTCCAGTGTGTAAAATAAAAGGTGTAAGGCTGAAATAATGACAAAGTGGAGTATGCAGAAAGATAAGAATTGTTTAAGTAGATAATTGGAGTATGGGAGAGTGCAGCTTTAAATTTTGAAATGACTTTTTAAAGCAATTACAGTTTTTAAATTTAGGAAGGGTTTCTGAACAGACCTCAAACAACCATAATTCTTCAAAGTAAAAGTGTGTTTGTTTATTTTGTTCTGAATGTAGTTGTACCTGAACACATTTTTCTTTTTTTTTTTTTTTTTTTTATATCCTCAGTAGATATGCCTGTGTTATTATACAGAATCAGAACATTGGAGCTGACTTCCCCTGGAGACTCTTCTCATTAGTGATAGAATATGATTATTCTGAAAACTCTTGCTGGAAAAAAATGTGTGAAAATCTAAATATTACATACATGACTTTTAAAACCATCCTCCCTGTAACAGTGCAAATGGGTAAGTGCAAACAATTGGACATACAAGAGAAAAGTATTTTCTATTCTCTGAAATGCTTCATTTGTGTGTGGGATGAGAATGAATCATAAATTATGCAGGATAAAACTAGGCAAATATTGCTGATTATATTATATAGAAAGATAGGAAGATGTTTTTCTTGGGTATATGATAATATGCTTGGACAGAATGTGGTAGTAAACTTCTGCTAAGTTTACAAGTTGTTGACAGTTGATAAAAGCTGTATCTACCCTTCCTCATGCTGTGAATCTAAAAGAATAAATCTAAGCTAGAGCTTAGTTTGAAAGGGATTCAGAAGAGTTTAATTTTGGGGGAAAAAAAATAGCATATAATAGAAGCATTATAATGGGGATGAATAAAAGCTGCATATTTTGAACATACATCAATTTGAATACTGAAATATTTATTGAAACTTTTGCTCACTAAACTATTATCTTACGTATACAAAATGTTTCAGGAAATCAGTGTGGCTCTTCTCTTCTGGAGGTACAGATTCCTTATGTGTTTCTCACCACTGAAGGTCTTCTTAACATGCCAGATTTTCTTCAGCTTTTGGAATCTAAGTGAGTGAAAGTGACCTGTTTAATCTTACTGACTAATTACCTTTCAGCTTTACAGGATATAGAACCAGTTTTCTAGGATATAGATCCCTTCTTTGGGTTGGAAGGGGGATTGATCTTACAGATCAGTTCCTCTGTTACGGACAGGGTTGCCATGCACTAAATCAGGCACTGGATCAGGCTGCCCAGGGCCCATTCAGTCTGTCCTTCGATGTCTCTACAGATGGGGGAGCCACAGCTTCTCTGGGCAGCCTGTGTCTGTGCCCTACCATTCTGAGAGAAGAATTTCTTCCTAGCATCTAATCCAAACCTGTCCTCTTCTATTTAAAACCCATTTCCCCTTGTCCTATCACTATCAGACCAACAAAAAGTAGCTCTCCTTGCTGTGTATAAGCTCCTTTTTAGTATTTGAGGGCTGCAGTGAGGTCTCCCTCAGAATATTATCTTCTGTCTGAACAAGCCCAGCTCCCTCAGCTTATCTTCATAGGAGTGGTGCTCCAGCTGTCTGATGATCCTCGTGATCTCCTCTGGACTTACTCCATTAGCTCCATATCTTTCTTGTGTTGGGCACCTTAGGTGTGTACGCAGTACTCCAGGAAGGGCCTTGTGAGGGCAAAGCAGAAGGGGGCAATCACTTCCCTTGCCCTGCTGGCCAACCCTCTTTTAATGCAGCTCAGGATCTAGTCAGCCTTCTGGTCTGCAAGCACACACTGCTGGCTCACGAACAGCTCTTCAGTCACTAATTACCTAAAGGCCTTCTCAGCAGAGCTGTTCTCAATGAGTTCTTCCAGTCTGTACTCATATCCGCAATTGCCCCAATTTAAATATAACACTTTGCACTTGGCCTTCTTGAATCATGTTTGAGATGTTCACATTTTTTGGGCCTACGTTGGCCCACTTTTCAAGCTTCTCCAAGTCCCTTTGGATTGCAGCCCTCTCTTCTGTTGTGTCAACTGCACTACTCAGCTTGGTGTCATCAGCAAATGTGCTCTCAATCCCACTGTCTAGGTCATTGATAAAGGTGTATAATCTTCCTGATGTAAAATACACTACCAAATTTAGAGTATTATCACTGCAAGAGACAATAAGATAGCTTTTCTGCTGAAGTCAGTTCATTTATTCTATAGATTCACGCATATGTCAACCAAAGGATATGTTGACATTTTAATTTTTAGATGAGCTGGAACTTTTTATGAAAACAACTACTTTAGTTGTCTGTTTTCCCTGAAAATTACAATGTCATCAACAAAACACATTTTTTGCTTCCCCACTTCTTCATGCTTTGAAGAGTGTATTAATTCTTCGTAAAAATTGCTTTGTATTTTTGGATTTTTAAGTACCTAAATACTACAAATAATGTAAAAGTTTCATTTTCTGATGTATCACAACTTTTGGAAGAAACTAAATTAAAAATAAACAAGTAAATACATTCATTGTTCATTTAAGATTTAATATTTGCTTAATTTTGAATACCTCTTCAGCTTGTACAAACATTTGCATATTTGTAGAACATTGCCCATGTGTATCGTTTTCTTTGGCATAATTTTCTTGCATTTAATTTTCCTAGTAATAAATACACACTAAGACAGTCTTCTACCCAAAAAATTAGAAAAAATGAAAGAAAAAAGAGAAATAGCAGTGTCATCTATTAAACCTACTGTCAGGGATGCATGTCATTAATTTCACCATGCTGTTGAAGAGACTTTCTAGTTTTTGTTATCTGTATAATTGCAGTTTAACAGGAAAAAATAATGCTGAAAGTTCAAAATTTGAACATTCCATTTGAAATACACTTTTGAAGATGGACCTGTTCAAGTTCACTATTCGCTTGGCCACTAGCTAAATATTCGGAGATGATTTTCAGTAGTTTCCCAGCAGATCCTCTTCACATTCACCTAAATAAATAAGTAGTTTCAGAGATGCTTACAGTTTCCCTTTCAGCTCATGGCTGAATATGCTGTTCATACAAGTTTTCAGGAAACCTTTTCCTAGTAGATTCTGGTCCTTTGTGTTTTCTGGGGATGGGGCCAATTAATGTGACTCATTTCTCCTTTACTTCCCACCTCAGACAGCTAAGACTCCTCTAAATTTCTAAACATGCAGTGCTCATTCAGTGAGTTTTTGCTGGCATTGCTTGTAAAACAGCATTGTGCTACTGGCAGCTTTCTGTCAGTCAAAAAAAATTTAGCCTCATGCAAAGAGCAATCAGTAATTTTTCACCCAGTTTGCTTTCCTTGTGGTGCACAATTGTGAAAGGAAGGAAAGAAATGCAATATACATGCAATTACTCTGAAAGAAGTTGAGATTTTAATTATTGTCCCATAAACATCAGTGTAAGTATTTATTTATCTTAGTTCTTTAATATATCGTTGTTTATGATCTCAAAGAGTGTAAGTTACAGAATCACAGAATCACAGAATGGCCAGGGTTGGAAGGGACCTCAAGGATCATGGATCTCCAACCCTCCTGCCACATGCAGGGCCACCAACTGTCAAATGTCAAGGTCAATGCCATGAGGCTAATAATGTAATTGAATTAGAATCACCTATATTGGAAAAGACCTCAGAGATCATTCATTCCAATTTGTGCCCCTTGGCTCAGGAGTCTAGCAGGTTTTAGCCTAGTAGTATTTCAATATGTTACTTCTACAATTATGTTTATTCTGTGAGTGTGGCTCAAAGTTAACCTGATCATTTGAGAAAGATCCCAATATTAAAACAACACATAACCATAAAAATTGTATTTAGAGATGAATGTGTTCATTTCCTTTAAGAAAGTTCAGTATTTTATTTAACTGAGCTTCGATAACAGAATTTGACTTATTCAGCTACAGCATTACTTTTGTTGAAAGAAGCTGCAGTTACTCCTTAAGGCTACTTGGAGATACAGACCAATATGTTGTGTTGACAGTGGATGAATGTACTGCTATCTTCTTGCAGGTACAAAATGAAATTGTGTTCAACTTCTACAGTGGGATGTATCACTTCTTGACCATGTCTGCACATTTCTAATGTATCTTTTGTTCTTAATAATATCAAAATCACTCATTTTCTCATGACACAAATTATTTCCAAATTTGTTAACTCCAAAATTAAGTTTATGCCAGCTTGACTAACTAAAAAATGTTCTCCTCTCACTGCTGACATTTTTCACAGAAGTATTACATTTCACTTCAAATTGATTGTATAAATATGGTTAAAATATGTAGCTGAGGATAAGACTGTACACATGAATGTTGTAATAACCAGTTAAGTGTGACTATATTCTCATACCACTCTGCGTGTTAATTCTTCCCATTTCAGATAGTTAATAATTTAGAAAATAAATTTATTATTTTAGAATTAATTTAGAAAATAATTAATTCTGCTTTTTATAAAAATAAGAAATTCTTAGATAATGGGATGGTATGTAAATTCTGTTACATAGCAAGACAAGTGTCTCAATGTGTAGAAGAGCAGTTACTGATAAAGAATAAAATAATCAAATAGGATTGCAGGCTCAGTGCAGATAGTATTCCTACATGCTATTTACTGGAAGTGCTTATGCAATTAGCAGTGCTGTACTTTATAAATTCCCTGTAGGTATAATGTGATTTATATAACTTATGTTAACTACTGTGGGAGTTTGCAACAGTATTTTGCATCGTTAAAACTTCCCAAAATCTTAGAACATCTTAAAAAGTAATGTCTCTGTTTCACAGGATGAATAAAAAGGTATGAAGAAATTGATTAGAATCTTTATGATTCTCAGATATGTCTTTGTTATTTATATTATTTACCTATAAACATGTTTGATCTAACTCATGATGATGTTTGATATAACTCATGTATAATACAGCAATGCATATGAAAAGGTTGTGACAGCCATGGTAATATGTTTATCTAGTTTTTACTTTTTATATTAATTTCATGGTAGAATATGGATGAATTAAATCATGAGAATTCCTGCGACAATGTAATATTGAAGCTGATAGCATTATCACTCCAGTATACATGCTGTTGGGTTGTTTTCTGCTCCAGAGAAAGACTAAGTTTGGAGTAAGTAAATAAAATCTTTTGCTGTCTCATTATTTTTAAAACAAAGCTATTGCTAAAGAATGCTGCATGCTAGAACAAGCTAAAACACTGTTATTTGAATTTCTCTGTAGGGACACATTTCTCTTCAAAGAATATGAATTTCTAGGTTTGTATTTCTTACCTGCTTTAATCTTTTCACCTTGTTACATTGTTGTCATGAGCTCCACTAAAAAACTCAGTGGAGGCTCCCCAAACCTAGCAAGGTTGATTTTCAAATGTTATATTTTTTCTAGTCTTCCACAAGACAAAAAATTAAAGAAATTGTTGTAATAAAACAGGAGTCTTTGAGTCAGGTAACTCTAATATACGGCAAGTTTTTATTAAATATTTCAAATCAGCAGGTCCAGAACATTCACAGTATTAAAGATATTATCAACAGCAACTATGCTTTTGAAGTGTTTTAAGTAAATTAATCACTATAATTACATGGTTATGAATTATTTCTATGTTAGCATTGGTGTATATCATTTCCAAGAGGGAGATATTCTTCAAGTATTCTTCCTATCAGTAGGTTTTTTTGCTCTGGAAGTACTACTTTTATTGATATAGCTCTCAAGAAATCCTTCATTACCTATTGCAAGGTTTTTTCTCTAAGGAAGTGGTTAATCTTTCATGCTTCACTTTTCCTTTGTGTATAATTTTTCTCCAGTGACTGACCCTGATTCAGCCTTTTTGCTTTAGGCCAGGCTTTCTTTGCTGTTAGCTGGCTCCATTTTCTTCTTTACAATGTCTCCTTCAGTAGTCAGTCATTTCACACATCCTTGTTATCTTTTCACAGATAATAATGTTCAAGGAAATGTACAAATGTTCTGAATTACAGGAAATAGAACAGAAATTTATTAACACACAGAACAGACAAGTCACATTTATTACGTGCATATAAAATATTAATGGTCTATTTAAACTGTTCTTACAGATACAGTCTCAGGGGAGATACTCTTCTCAGCCTTGTCTTAATTTATGCCACTTTAATAGAATTTACACAGAAGACAGAAGACTTTGAAGTGAAGGTAATTTTTTTTTTTTTTTAACAGTCCTTCTATTTTAGTCTTCTCTATGTCCAAAGTATTCTATTAAAGAGCACTTTCAACAGCAGAAACAGGAAACAATTCAAAATTCAGAAAATAAGATAAAGGAGTTCAGTTCAGTACTTCTGAAGTCAGTAAAAACTCTGATAGACTCCAGTACAAGCTGAATCAGATTTGTGCAGAAGCTAGACAATATTTTACAACTGGAATGAGGTTGTACCTTTAATTTTATGAATACTAGAGCGTGTATTAATCTTCTTGTTATCCTATTAATGCCTTAATTTGAAGTTTTGAGTTAATATTGTTGTTAACATAGAGGAAAAGAAAGTGTACATTTTCTCTGTAATGTCAGATATCTTGTCACATTTTTTATTATGTGACTACAAATATTATGCTTTTATTCTTTATAATTAAAAAAATTGCTGATCTGGAATAATTCACATTTTAAAAATGGGTCAAAAATTTTGTCTGTCTTCCTTTTGCAAGAAGTAGCCTTTTTAGGCAATTTAAAAAAAACTTTTTTACATATTAATGTTTGGTTCAAAATTTTCTGGGTAAGTTAAAGATTTTTTCAATTCATTTATACAGCAGTTTAGTTGACAATTTGTTTGAAAGTTGCCTATCTTTTCAAAGGGTTGCACATCTTTATTTTCTTAAACTATTCTGGGCATTTCAGAATTGCCTGTTTTGAATTCATACCAATAGATCTGATAACATGTAAGAGATCTATAGAAGAAACTAAATTTTGCCTACATTGGATTTGTATAAATTTATTTGTATAAATAAGGAGTGTAATTTGGAGCCAGATTTGTGGCCAGTTGTTGAAGTTCATAATAGATCTGGATTAGTTAGTCCACCTTACCAGCTACTGTGCCTAGGGTCACAGTTAAGCTTTTCCATCTGCTAACTAGTACTGATAATTAAGACATTTGGAGTTTTATTCCTTAGTATAGGCTTTACCCCAAATTATTATTATTACTTCTAGGTAGTTCTTACACCAGGGATTGAAGAGGCAGCACTGCTAATTCGTCAAATAGCTGACAACATTTTGATGACATCTGCTTTCAGTCCTCATGAATGGCTGGACAAATCTTGGCTTTCAGTCTTGCCATCTGAGGTTATTTAACTTTATTCTACGTTACACTGTTTTATTCCTGTTTCTCAGACTAAGTTCTATGTGATTTTTTTAATGTGTTGTTATATTAATTAATTTATACATTTCATATATATGTGTGCATATGTATGTATGTTACAGATACATAAACACACATGTATGTAAAGCTTCTGACATCAGTCATCCTTGTTAGCAGAATTAGGATTTTCCCCGTGCTTTCACAATGAATCTTCAGAGAAATTTATCCTTCACACCTCTAGGCTATTATGTGAGACTGACATCCTTTCAGCACTACATTTGGAGAACTATCCACACTGTAAAAGATAAAGATATAGTGGCTCACTTGGGCAGTAAGCCAAGTTCACTGATAATGATCCATTACTGAAGTCAGTGAAGTTGCTTACAGAGTTGTTTTACGACAAGCTGATAAAATTTGCTTAATTCCTCATACAGTATTTGGAAATAGATATTACTGGACCACATCCACCAATTATGTTTAAATATTGATGTTGTCTAGTGTGTTGAGATTTCCAAATTAAACCTAATGCAGATTTAGTCATCTTACATAAAAAGACTGAACTATTAAAAAGTCAGGATACTTTTTAGAGTTTGCAAAATTCAAAAGCATTTTGAATAAGTACTTGGCATGGTCTTTCAAATGGGAAATACTGGATTATAACTCTTCCAAATTAGAAATTAAAGATACTGATTAAAAAAAAAGACTGAGAAAAGTCATTGGTTGTATTTCATCTCTGTTAAAGGCATTAGGTCCTGATGTGTTGAATGCAGATCTTTATGAAAGTCAAGAATTGGAAGCTGATGTTCTTTAGATAACACAGTTTTCAAGTTACTGCCCCTTGTGTGACGTTCAGCAATTCCTCCTTCTGGCACTTGTCTCATTGCTGTTTACAAATGTAACTTTTGTAAAATAAGATAGTTTTGTTGGTTTATCTTGAAGTAAATAATTCTTATCAAACCAGAGAATAAACAGTAAATCTGGTAGTGTGTTTAGAAATCAAGTTTGAGTGATTCACTGATTTATATAAAAATAGTACAGAAATATTTTTTTAATGTACTTCTTTTTTATCAAATTAGTTTTCAAAATTTACTTTTTAACAAGAATTGTACACTGTTAAAAAAAGTAGTAAAAATAAAATAAAATTCATGTGAATGGCATAAAACACCTATCCAAAACTGCACAGATTCAAAGATCTAGTTATATGATGTGACCTATTGATAGGAATGTCACTGAAGAAAGAAAAATAAACATCTGACAAAATTATTTCTATTTCCAGATGGAGAAATGCTTGCTTACTTTTCCTTGTATCAACCCTCTGGTTGCTCAGCTGATGTTAAAGAAGGAATCTTCTTTGAACAGGCTCTTTCTGGCAAGCTTTGATCAACTTCAGGAATTACTACCAGAGGTTCCAAAAAAAGTTCTAAAGGTCAGTCAAAAGTAATTTATGTTTTATCTTGGACTATTTGCACAGTTGTCATTCTTCCTCTTTTTT